GAGGTGGTTGAAAATTCATTTTAAAAACCAGCTGCGGAAAGCTATGGCGATCAAATGCGGCTCAAAAACCTTATTTTACGCCAAGTACGCTAATAGGCACACCCAGGGACGGAGGGGATAGTTATATTGGGGAGACAAAATCATAAGATTTGAAACGGGATCCAATGTGTCATTCTATTGCTTGGCGCAGATAGGGGCCAGGGGAAGATCTCACTACAACAGTGGCAGAGGAGCGGGCTGTGAAATTACAGGGAATCTTCTCAAGAAATAATGGTATATATTAAATTTGTTACCATCCATCAACAACGTTCTCTGGAGTACATGGGTCAGTGGTATAAGTTGTGTGGTGCCCAACAACTAGCCCGCGCTTGTAGCCAGAGAGTCATGGCTGAGGCCGGATCTTGGTCAAACTGCAAAGGGCACTGCAGAAGGCGTCCGGTATCAGCTGTGGGGGGTGGGTTGAAGGTAAGTTGAAGGTAAGTTGGGTGAGGTTGTGGGCGCCAAAGGCCTAATATGGCTTGTTGAAGAATCTATGACTAGGAAACTAGTCCTTAGATTTTTGTGTTTTTGTTATTAGTATTACTGAGGTTTGCTTGATGGTCTGTAGTTCGAGCCCAGTGCTGCCCTTGCTTTTTTTTGATATTTACTAGATGTCCTTGCCTCCACAAACTTTCGGCTTGCTGCTTCTTTTCCAAAAAGAAAAGCCGGTGCTTATGCCAGACAAATGGTACAGGTCCAAAGACCAACATATTATATTGCGTCGTACACTCCAAGTCCTTCGAGTGATAAGTATGGTGACATCCCTCCGCGACCTAAATGATCTTCTCAATCTCGCTCTTTCTATGGATCAGGCGCTGAGGGCGGTGAGCTGACGCCCAGTGATTTTCTGACTCTCGGTCCGAGATGGAGCGATGGTGACAATACGCAGGCCCGTTTGCTGACGGCATCCACGATTCCTCCGATGAAGTTTCTCCAGCAATCTCGTTTTCCTTCTCTGCATGTTGCAAAAAGTCTGCGCCATGCCCTCAGCCTTGCGAGTGATGTCTCTACCCTTTCAGCGAGCTTCGCTATCGTTTTGGCCGGGTCTGCACTGTGTTACAAGTGCTAACATTGGACAGCACCTCACCGCGGACAGTGCACAGCCCGCAGCCACTTATTTCGAGAATGTTGCTGGTGTCTCTCGATGTACAGATGATCTGGCTCTTGATCGTGATATTGACCTGGAGCACGCTCAGTCTGCAATAGGAAATAAGACTTTTTTACACGTCCTGTCATAGCCGCGACTACCTATTACAACACGTGAGTGTTTTGCTTGGATCCCATTGATCCGATTGTTGTCCCTAGCACAGGTGTCAAGCGCTCATGGCAAGCTGCTCGAAAAGCTCCGGATGATATGTTGGTGATGAGGACGAAGGAGGCCTGCAACAATGGTACCGGCCCCTCAATATCTATTTCGGAATCGGTCATTTCATATCATGACTATTGCATGAAATTCCGTGATTGAACCGTGGCGAGGAAAGCTGGGTGCCAGAGGCAGGTAATTTGTGTCTTTGATCCTAAGTTGCTCCTTTCGGTTCTGCTGGCCTTGCACACGCTTACACTTCTGTCAAAGACTAGCATGTTTCCTGTGCCCTGGTCGTGCCTTGGGCAGCTTCGGCTGGAGCTCTTGTTTATGCACTGGTGTGGGGGTGTTTGGGACAGACTGCATTGAATTTCACCTTGAGGAGATAATGGAACAGCTCAATCGTGAGGCACCCTCAGATACACGGCGACACTTGCCGATAGCAGAACAAGATGATTGAGAGATCGCCGTCATATGTAAGAAGGCTAATGCACCTGATAGGTTTCCATGGACTCCTACTCACGTTCCTCCAAGAATGGCATCAGGATGGGTTGCTGTTGGTGTCGCTGTTGCCCAATTGTGGGACCATCATAACGCGAAGCCTGATCAACAGTATATATATCTTTATTTGGTAGAACGCAAGCAGCTATACAAGCAGTAAAAAGCATTTTTCGCAAGATTCCATCTGATTTCCATTGGCAGTCACAATTTTGCCTCTCCTTGCGCTTTTGGTCTCTCCACTCGGGCGGACAGCGTGACCAAGATGACCGACAGCAAGCTCCAGATTTCTTCTGTGTTTACCCCCCCATCAAGTCACGCTCAAGCAAAGACAAAACCTATCCAGCTTGCTGCGCTAAAGACTCTCCCAGTCGAAGTAAGACTAGATAATTTCCAACCACAATCTATATCCAATCTAACATACATAGAAACCAGTGTCCAAGATTATCCTCGGTCGTCCTCTCTACGCAGCTCTTCCGTGACTGCGGCTGAGAGGCAATGCACGCTTGACTCCTCGAAGGTACAGTCCAAACGCTGTCAACTCTTCTACGAGATTATCGAGTCTGAGCAAATTGAAGCCACAGAAATTAAAAGCCCCAAATTCTCGTTCTCCTTTCAAGTGGCTCCTAAATCACCTATTCAATCAACAGCCATCGCAATATAATGGCGGAACTACCAGCAAAGCGTGCAAGGCGCACCGACAGCGCGGCTATGTGGGACAAGAACGAAAGTACGAGCGCCCCCAAATCACAGAGATCAACAGAAGATTCACGAGAAATCAAACGAAAGGACAGTGACCGCGATACATTAGATGACATCAGAGACAGAAGACGGAATGACAGGCGACGTGATGACGGCAGGCGACGCTCGAAGTCGAGGGACCGGTATCAGAGCCGCAGAGAAAGGAGCCGATCAAGGGACCGGCCAGCTAAAGGCAGGGATCGAGATCATGACCGGGACAGGATCAGGGAAGACCGAAGAGGGGCGGACCGAGATAGAGACCGTGATCACCGTGGTAGCCGAAGGGAACGGGAGAGAAGTCGCAGCCCAGACAGACACAGATCTTCAAAGGGTAGTGTTGGGCCTTGAGCAGCATAGAGCAACACTTCTGACTAATTATTTTATGTGCAGATGCAAGACTAGACAGAGATCGAGACCGCCATCGTCATCGATCAAGATCCCGCTCCCCAGCCCGGAATGGCGCAGACACCCCTACTCGAACACGGTCGCCTCCCAAAGCTCCACGGGCTGACCGCGGTCGACCATCTGCTTCCACCGCTACTCGCCCAACAGAGCCTACACCACCATCTTCCAAGGTCAAGAAGGAGCCTTCCCCTGGGGCGGCTATACAGATTGATTCGAAAACGAATGGTCGCAATGGTGTGGACGAGGACGACGATAGTGAAGACGCTTTGCTTAAAAAGATGATGGGTTTCTCAACTTTCAAAAGCACGGCAAACACAAAGATACCAGGCAATAACGTGTCAGGTGTGCGAAAAGAGAAGTCGACCAATTACAGACAGTACATGAACCGCACTGGTGGATTCAACCGACCATTGAGTCCATCGAGAGATTGAAAGATACATTGGGCCCCGTCACAAAAATCCTTAATATCTCATCGACAGATGGCTCTGGCTTGCCCAACTTGCCTCTTTCTCGACCACATAAGATTGTTCAAGCTGATCAATAGGTGCAATCCAGTTAATTCTGCGCTTTGTCATCCGTTGGTGTCTGGTCATTATCCCACTTGCCTCTTCAAGTAGTCCCAAGGCATCTGGTACGCTCGTTGACTTACCTTCCGGGTAAAGAGCTAGCAAAAGTGCATGACAGTGTGGAGAAGCTGGTTGAGAAATCTGTTACAACCCCGCTTTGCGGGAACAAGAGTCCTTGATATCCTCTACACACCCAACTCTCTCCTACTTCCACAGTTCCTCTACCCGACAAAGTTCCTCGATTCTCTACCGCGGCCTAGTGTGGAAATCCTACAGGGAAATCCTACGAAAATGCCTACAGGCGCGCGCTCAAGCTTTAGCGAGGCTCATCGCGCAAAGTCCTTCCGGGAGTTGATTGGTGCATCTCCATCCACGGCATCACCCTCTGATTCGACCTTGATTATTGTGGACGCACAGAATGAGTGCGTATAGCTGATATCCGCGCACCAACACCAGCGCTCACCTCACCGAATTTCCCAGATACGCTGATGGCCTGCTTCAAACCACCAACATTGCCCAAACCCGACCCGCCATTTCCTCCCTCCTCGAAACCTATCGAACCGCAGCAGCCGACTCCTCGTCGAATGAAAAGTCCAACATAATCCACGTAGTCCACTCAGTCCCCAAAGGCACACCAATTTTCACCCCCTCCACCCCGCTGGCGGCCGAATTTGCTGAACTCGAACCTAAAGACTCGGAAAAAGTTATCTCCAAGCACCTTCCCAGCGCCTTCAGAGACACCGAATTGCACGCCTACCTCCAGTCGTTGCCTGACGGCAAGGGCAAGAAGATCGTGCTGGCGGGCTATATGGCGCATGTGTGTGTTTCGACGACGGCGAGGCAGGGCCATGAGTTGGGGTACGATGTTGTGATTTGTGGCGATGCGGTGGGGGATCGGGATATTCCGGGGGCGACGGGAGAGGAGGTGACGCGGATGGTGTTGGCTGAGCTTGGGGATGCTTTTGGGACGGTGGTGGAGAGTAAGGATATCAAATGAAGTGGTATGAGGAGATGCGAACAGGTGTGCGTAAGAGGTGAACAATCGTGTAAAGCTTACAGATAGAAGCAGAGAATCTTCAGAAAGGAAAGATAGCAAAATTCTTTTTGAGTTCTTGACCGCCTCTTGTGTCCGTCTCGAAGAATGGAAGGGCGTAGATTCCAGGTTTGAGCTGCGCTTTGTAGGGGATGGTCCTTGAGTCGATCTCGAAATGTCAAAGTAGTGCATAGCATCAAGCTGATGATCGGCACTCCGATTGATGACACACGATTTGCAGCAAGGAAGGGTTGGATCGTGACCTTACTTCCCATAAGCTACATGATTGAATCTCACAGCAAAGATCAGAAGCGGGAAGCCAATGATAGCGCCTCATGTCCCCGATCGAGAAGATGCCCGTCCTTCAAACCTCCTCCCCCTCTTCTTCTCCTTCGGCACTCGAAGACCTCCAAAACAGATACACATTGTAGAGCGCGTACTCGTGCCCGAAATCCGGCAGCCGGAACGACTGCTTCCCCTTCTTGAAGCGATGGAATATGCCTGCTCCCCTGACGGCGTCACGTCTGATGCGCTCCATCAGCTCCGCACGCTCCGCGCCTGGCAGGTCGTTGGGGACCCATTCGCGGCTGATATCAGGGGCTCGCAGGTCGCCCGTGGCCGGGTCGCGGTGGGTGTCTAGAGCGGGGAGCGGGAGAGGGTGCCGCGGATGACGAACTGCTCGGCGCCGGGGCAGAAGGTGAAGGACTGGGCGGTGATGAGGTGGAATGCTGCCGGGTGGTGGACGGCTTGGATGTCGAGGTGGGCGAGGAGTTGGTGGTCGAGCGTGTTGAATTGCGGTTCCTGGGCGAATGCTGCGGGAGGCTGGGCTTGCTGCGAGCTCAGGAGGTCGATGATGGATTTGAAGGCCGCTAGTTGGTACATGGAGATGTCTCGCCGGTCGAAACCGGCGCCGGTGAGTCCGGTCGGGCTGCTGAGGCCGAAGCAGATGCAGTTGGTGATGTTGAGGTGCTCGGTGGAGATTCGCGTGTCGAATGTCTGCTTCAATTCGGCCCATGTGTTGGATTGTTTCCACGCACTGTCGCTCTTCTGGTAGTGGCTCAGAGCTTTCTCTAGAGAGGCGCCCGCTGGTGTCTCGGCTGGGGTGGGAGTAAAGGTCATCTGGGTGTAGCCTTCATCCAGATCCTGGTCGTAGTCTGGGTCGTTGGGGCTGGAGATCATGCCTCCAGTGTCGGCCTCGGGATGCCGTCTGTTGATGCTGAACGCTTTGTCCGATCGAGCAATTCGAGTCCAACCGTCTTCAGACTCGATTTCTCCTCTTTTGTTGCGGGGGAGAGGCTCCTGGCGCTGTCTCCTCTTCTTATGACTTGTGTGCGGCATAGTGGTGAATATGCTGGGGACGGTTCAAAGCTGGTTGAGACAATCACTGACGGAAGAAAGGCACACTGGACAGGAAACGGAGTACACAGAACGCAATCAGGGAGAGGTTGAAGGGTGAAGGGTGTAAAAGTGATACCTTGACCACGAGGTTGACGATTGGTATCCTACCACTACCAAGTGGTTTGCGCAACAGTGCAGTAGCTGAATTTATTTCTATCCGATATACTGACTCTCTACATGTGCGTTCCAGCTCTGCCCATCCGGGTTAATTGATATCATTACCTGTAGGCTGTAGAGCTTAGTTGGCGGTTGGACGGAGGAAGCAGTTAGAATGAATAACAGAGAGCAGACATTCAGTTCTCAACTGTTGGCAATCCTGTACAGACTACTTGTAATTACTGGAAGGATGCAGACCAAGTCCATGTGTACGGAACGTATTGCTATTGGATTCATCTTCGATAGACAACGATCTTAATCACGAGATGATTGCGATCCTATGATAGATGGCGACATTTATTGAGTGATAATGGTTATCTGCACTCCACTTCGAACGTGATCAGTTGGGTGATGTCTTATCCGCTCTGCCTCGCATGTGCTCCCCCATCGCGTTTCAACGAAGAAATATGACATTCTGAATGTTTCAAGAATCGCGAGTTGGCGGTGGAGCAACATGTAAGCGCCGCCACAATGATCTGCAGAACACTGCCTGCTCTCTATGGGGCCGAATCATCATCCTCCCATGAATCTTCATGGCCCCAATCTCTGCAGATACCACAGTACATGTGCCCATCCTCCATACAGCTTGTTCCAGTTATGCGGCAGAGCACCGAGTAAGCTTGTCTCACGGTCTCGTCTCCATCTCCGCCTGAAGGCCAAGAGCAGCGGACACAGGCATGCGCATTCAATTCACTAACTAGTATTAAGTCAGTCAACTATGCAAGGTCGTCATACTGCAATGGCAATGGGATACTTTATAGCGAGTGTGAGTTCGTTGATGACAGCAATATATGAAGATAATTTTCGAGTCGATGTGCCGTTTTCTACGTATTTCATGCCATTGTCTCGCTTTCCACAATGGCTTTTACGCCCATGTTTCTACGTGCATCTGTGCATCTGTGCCGCTGCTAGCCTCCTGCCCAGGTTCCGGGCGCCCCAGTTGATTTCCTGGGCGCTTAGGACCCGCAGACCAATCAACACCACCAATCCGTCGAGCCTGTGATCCGACGTGCAGCCTGGGTCCTCAGACCTTCGAACTTTGCCCTGATGCGATCTAGCCCTCCCGGCTCTGGATCCTTCGAGTCAATTGGGTCGCATACCTCCTGCAAGTCGACTCCAATCAACGATGGAGTCAACGACTTTCTGAAGGCAATTCCGACTGGCTAGCCGCGAAAAGCTGAGCCACCCAGCTATCGCTGTTTTCCTCGATCGCCCTTGGTTTTCCGGATGAGAATATGCTAGGGTCCAAATAGCGGCGCGAACAAGTCACACCTTGTCTCTGCAAAATCTCTCATGGCCACTGGCCAGATCTCTAACTACGGCGCTTGTGCTGGTGAAGGTTGAACAGGGAAGACCCTCTTGCTGCTCGAACATCCATTTCTTCCCCAAAGATTGCCAGCATGAGAGGCCAAGCTCGCCTTTGACGATCTCTACGACGACTTCAATGATCGTTGAACCTCTGAGCTCGACATACTGAAAAGAAATCGACGTTGAGACTGAGCTCCACCTCGTCTGTCTTGTACCACCGGGTACTCCAACGACCAGCGCATCCCACATCTCCACAATGCTTCCGTGCTCATCAGTACCGCTCAGCGCAGTCGTCCTTTTCTCCCTCCTCACCTCCCTCGTCTCTTCACACATAGTCATCACATACCCAGGATGGAGAGGGAACAACCTCCACACGAATGGCACAGTACAGGAAACCAACGCCCTCGCTGTTGCTGAATCCCAAAATGGCACCGGTCTCGTTCACCCGTACGGCATGCAATGGGAATATCCATGTACGTATTAATCTCCTCACCACTCAACTTTCACCCACCGCCCGGGCACACACTGACCCTCTCCTTCCACTCCAGGCGGCGGCATGCCCCTGTCCAGCAACCGCACCAAATGGCCCGTCCGCGGCGGCGCCATTGCCATCCAACCAGGCTGGTTCCAAGGCCACGCCACCGCCTTCTTCTACATCAACATGGGCTTCGGCGAGATCCCGCTCAACATGTCCTTCAATATGGTCCCCGCCTTCCAGATCGTAGGCCCTACAAAGGACCCATACCCCGGCACATTCTGCCTACCACAGGTCCCACTACCAGCCAACACCACCGTCCAACCGGGCGACAAGGCAACCATCCAGGTCATCGAGACAGCCGTCCACGGTGCCGCATTGTACAACGTACGTCACCATCTTTCTATTTTCCCAAACCCCCCCAAACAACCAAATCAAAAAAGAGTTAAATCACTAACGAATACTCCTTTATTAAATCAACAGTGCGTGGACATCGAATTCGCCGAACCGGCCGACGTGGCCGAAGTCAATGAATCCAACTGCTTCAACTCGTCCGACATCTCCTTCCAGCTCGTCTTCTCCACTGCCGCTCTCTCCCAAGCCGTCTCCTCCTCCTCAATACCCTCAACTCACCTCCTGGCCATGGTGCCGTTATTAATCCTGGGCTTGGTGGGACTGCTGAATTAGCGAGCGAATGAGCGAGCGAGAGAGAGAGATGCCTCTTTGCCCCGAGTTCATCGATTAGGAGTTGTTCTTTTTTTTTGGAAGTCTTGGGTTTATCGGGGGCTGAGTGCGGTGGATTGGGGGGAAGCAGAAGCAGAAGCAAAAGCAGAAGCAGAAGCAAAAGCAAAGCAAAGAAGCAATCGGCGGCCGGCTCCTCCTCCCCCTCTCTCTTTCCTTTTCTGGGACTCCGTCCCGCTTTGCTCGCGGGTGGGGGAAGGATCGGGAATGAAAGGAACAACAGGCGGTTTTCATGTACAAAGCTACAAACTCCCTCATTCACTTACTCACCCACTCACTCACTGCCTCGTCCCGTCTCGTCGAGTCGAGTCGAGTCAAAGTCGAGTCGCGTGCACTCATATCCCCCACCCCCATCAGATTACAAATTCCAAGAAAATATGCCAAAATTTTTTCTAAATAATCTTCAGAAAAGAAGAGGGGACAAAAATAACCAAGTTACTTCACTTGATGTCGAGGCTGGCAGCGAGATGTTAACCCTTCGAGCAGAAGGCATCTGCATTCAAGTGGCTCGATGCTCCTTCACGGGGAACAGCGCAAAGAAAGCAAGAAAGCGAAGTATTACACCCAGCAAAGCGCCTACATAAGAGATAATTGCCGGGGGTTTTAAAACTTTTTTGTGGGTTTTCCTATGGTTTTCAAAAGCACAGATACTCCATACACTCCATATCCGTTGGGCTATCGGCCCCTGTGTCGTTTTATCCAGTTCAGCCATCAGCTCCGTTGAGAGCCTCCCCACCGAATTTAGTCATTCAGCTCTTGTGGCAACAGAGCTCTCGGTCCACATGAAAGCTCATTCCCACGCGGCACTGGCTCAATCAAGAGCCTCCCCCCTTCCAAACAACTCTTCTTCATCATTCGCACACTTCTGTTTAGTCAATTTCAATCAGGCGCGGCACTTCGCTAAGCTTCTTAGCTGGCCCACCGCTTCTCATGTTCTCCACTCCTTCATACACCTCTCGTTGAGGTTGTCCATTAGACATGACGTACTCATGATCATGTCTGACACGGCCGTTTTTCAAGGCCCGCTGAGTCTCTTTTTGCACTGTTCCAGTGTTGTCCTTTCTCACTTGAGGATCTTCCAGGGGATTGTTATGAAGGCCAAGCAGGTCGAGGTTCTGCTCCATCAGGCGCTGCTTCTGGCGCATTGCCCCCTCGTCCCGCAACAAATCATCATTCCGTACGCCACCATTGGCGAAGGCGCCCCAGTCGGTACGCGATTGCAGCTGTTTCTCAGGGCTCATCCGCCCAAATGGATCTGATGTGGTGCTGCTTGAGCTTGATGCTGCGGGCTGGGAACCGCGAGTCATCGATCTGCTCGCGAGGGGCGTCATTGGCCCAGGTCGACTTCCTTGATTAATTTCTGTCGTGTTATTGCCTCGTACTCCTATTGGCACACGGTCATGGTCGTCTTTAAGATCCGAAAGTCCGTTCCCTTCCGGATCCTTCGAAGCATTGTACGAACCGGTTAGCGGGCTCTGCGGGATCAGATCTGGGTTCTCCGACAGGCGAGCGAAATCGGCGCAGTTGAGTTTGCAGGAACACTCCTGAGAACACTCCATTCCACACGGATGCCCACAGATCAGAGTACGCTTGCACTTGACTTTGCAGACGACGAGCTGGTGTGGGAACGAGTGGCAGGTTAGAGGGCACTTATGGCCGCAGTCCAACAAGTCAACGCACTTCTGGCTGCAACCAAGGCGTCCATCCCAGTCCTGGGGATATTGGATTTCAGACTTTCGATTGTGGTTGACGCATTGAATGGGAAAACGACCACCAACACGATTAGGGTTTTGGGACATGATTGAGATGATTTGGTTCCACAAATGGTCTCTAGACAATTGTGTCGCGTTGCCAAAGATGTAGAAACCCAATCGTGCACGAGACATGGCGACACAAACACGGTTAGCCACCTCGAGAAAGCCGATTTTGCCTTGCTCGTTGCTCCGCACGAGTGAGAGAAGAACAATTGCATTTTCCTCGCCTTGATAAGAGTCCACAGTGTTAACGCTGAGGTACTGACCAGCAAGGAATGGCTGTTTTTTGAGCTGTTTCAGAATCAGCTTCCGCTGTCCATTGTAGAATGTGAGGACTGTAATGCCATGTGGTGGTACCAGACCGCCCCGTACGAGGTAGCAGAAGAAGCCGACAACGAAATCGGCTTCCTGTTCATTGTACTTGGACAGCATACTATCGTTTCCTTCCGACCAATTATGATCGAAGAAGAATGATCTGACATCACCCATTCCAGGCACAGGTGGTCGATCAAGGACGCTAGGATGGTCCTCCAGATTGTGGTAGATAGGGGCCAGAGCGCGACGGATTTCAGGGTCCATGCGGCGCTGTCTGGTAAGGGTTCTGAAAGGGACATTGTTGCGAACAAGTCTCTCGAACATGGAGATGTTTAAATGAAATACCTCTTCTAATTCCTGGACATTGCAATGGCCTTGGAGCTGTTGGTGATCCCCAACTAAGATGAGATGCTCCAGAGATTCAACACATACAGCTGTGACAGGTCCTTCGAGGACTTCTGCAGCTTCCTCTATTAGGACTATCCTCGGCTTGAGGCTTGCAACCAACGGGCGGTACTTGCTGAAGCCAGTGGTCGTCATTCCGATAACGTTGGACTTCTGGAGCAAAACAGCGTCTCGTTCCCATTTGCCTATCTGCAGGTCTTGAGATACTTGTGCATATCGGGGAGCTAGTTCTCTGAAGCGCTTCAGCATGGCAGCCTTAGCTCGGTCTTGAAATAGGCGATAGACGCCACCACGGGCACGTTCCGGTATGTCCCAGAGATTAGAATGCTTGGCTAGCTGTGCTTCTGCTCCTGCTCGTTGTGAAGGGGTTACGCGGCAGGTGAAGCTATCTTCGATGGTACGGAATGGTCCACGTAAAATTTCAAAATCTTCGTCGTCGTCAACACTATGCTCTGCTTCTAGTTCCTTCAATTGCTCGTATTCCTCGTCTTTCTCTTCTTCCTCGAACCCAAACATATTCTGTTCATAGGACACTTCGAACGGGACAAGCTGCTTGTCGAGCCAGATAGACATTGGATCTTGCGCTTGTCCGGGGGACGAAGAGACCCATTGGCTGGCGCCAGCTATCAGAGACTCAGCTTGGACGGATGTGATTATTCCGAGGTCACGGAGCACATCTGCGGCAAGTGGATGAGCTGCTCCGTCTCTCACAAGAGGAGCAATGATTTCGAGCATCGCCCTGGCCAAATCAGACTGGCCCTTCATTGCTCTTCCAAAAAGGCTACCGAGTGGGGGTGGAACATTGTTCTTCTTTCGAGCTTCATACAGTGTATGCTTCTTAACTTCAGCGTTCTTACTGCGACAGCCTAGACGGATGTAGTTGTCGTCGAAATTGGAGATGTGTCGCAAAATCTGATCAAGCGCATGGTTCGTTTGTGCTGTAACAATGATAGGAGGGTCGTCCGGGGCTTTGTTCTCGAGGAGTACTCTAAGTCCAACGACAGAGACATGAGTCTTACCAGTTCCTGGAGGCCCTTGTACTATAGAGAGACTGGTCGTAAGCATCTGTCTCAACGCAGCCCATTGTGACTCGTCGAGCGCGTTTTGGGGAGCAGCTGGCCAGTTGTTAAGAATGTTCACTTTCTTTGTTGCTTGCTTCTGGTCCGCAGTACTGAAAGCAGACGCAAGATCGATGCTTGGACGCTTTTCGAGGTATTGAGGGGGGTGTAAGTCTGTTTTGAGGGTACAAATATGCTCGGCAAGGGGGAACCTGTCCAACTATATCAGCCTCGAACTGTTCGTTAGATGTAGATATGACTAACCTCTCCTGATGCAACTTCTGCAAAGCTTTCAGAGTGTACCGCGTGCCTTCATAGAACCCCGATCTCGCTTCGATCATGATGAATTCTTGCTGAGGGTCGATCTCAATTTCTTCAGGACGAGCGAAATAGATGTCAATCTGAGACGGGGTTGCTTTTACATTGTCAAGCGGTCTGGCAGCAACTATAGCGATAATACATTTCTTGCGAAAGTTATCCTTAGACGGCGTAAGAGCAACCATGGATCCACATATCAGGCGCTTGGAGTATTCCCATGCAATGCTCTTGCCGGCTCGAGCAGTTGAAAATTGAATTTGAGCTGCCAACCCTTGTGGGGCGAATGTGAAACCGGAAATGTAGACCTGGTCTCTTGTTATTGAACAATACAAGGCAAGTGAAGCGATAGTTACCTTGTCATAAATAGCAACCTGGTTATCATCACCCATGTCAGGGGTATTCTTGAATTGAAGAACAGCATCACGCAGAGGCGAGATAGCATCTTCCCGAAGGAGCTCGTAGTGGGTTTCGAGATACTTCTTTCGGTTTGGCCAAGGTCTATCAAGTCTGTTCTCCAAGAGCTGAACTGGTTCTTCCTCGTTATCCAGTATCTCTTCGGTGGTTGGGATCTCAGGTTTCGCTAGCCATGGCTTTGCCGTAGCCGCGGCTGCTACTTTCGCTGCCGCAACGTATGCTCGAATATCTCGATTAAGTGCTTCCTTCGAGTGGTTGGGGTCTGAAGAGGTATTGCCCCGAGGCTGTGCTCTGCGACCGCGAGCAAACCTCTCCGCAAGATGTTCGTTCATCTTCTCAGGAAGTCAATTAGTTCGAACCTCGAATTGTAGAGGTTCGTCCTAATTTGTTCCGTGCCAGTCAGTCCAAGCTGTTCGATACCTCATCAAGGATTCGTCGGGAGTGAGGAACAGCTGAGAAAAGCTGGGGAATGCGGTTGACCTGTGAAACACGTCTAAAGGCGAACTGTCGATGAGGTTCAAATGAGAGGATGAATGCATTCTGACCGGGCAAGAACACGACAACAAATGAAAAAGAAATGCTCACCGGATGAGAGCACTGGCACTGCACTCCTTGACTCAGACAGTGAAGGCGAACAGGCCTCATGTACAAGATGATGCAATGCTGAGCTGTGAAGGTCGGGGGACTAAAGGGAGTTTGGGGAGTGGAATCCCCCAATCTCGCCTTACTCCAAGATGTGTTGGTCTGCTTCGGCGGCTTTTCGCTGCCACAGCAGCCCGAAACAGCCTACAAAAAAATGCCTGCTGTTCCCACCTCTTGCAGGGGCGCCTCGAATGGCGAACTTTCTGTTGGGATGCTTGTACAATGTTCGAAAGGTGGACCTAGAATGATGATTCTCTTTTCGAGATCACGAATACAGAGGTTAAATACTTCAGCAGGCACGCCCAATATGGAAGGGACGATAAACACCGGCCAAACACCAAACACGCAAACAATTCCCACTTGGGAAATCCTGGCAGTTGCCAGACAACCGAGTTTGTCTCCACAGAGGATGTCTCTGGCAAGGCAGCTATGGACTCCTCCCTTCGACCTGCGAAACACAACACCTATCTCGCCGTGTGGCCAATAGCTGGTCTCGGGCTTCTGGGAAAGGCTCGTGGCCCCCTTTTCCTATTGAGCAAGCTGCGTTCTGATGAATTTGGGCTGATTGCTTCCTCGTGTCGTGGTCGAGAATACACACTCAACAGAACTGCGAATACTGTCCTCCTTGTCGCTAGCCCTGGCCAGAAACAAGATCGCCCCCTTGATATGTGAGCAGGGCTTGACCATTCGCCTTACTCTGCATACACGATTGCGCGAGAGCTCTACTCACAGCCAGAGCAATGGTGCTTTGGTTTGCCTCTGTTCAATTTCCAAGAGTCGCAGCATTGGCCTTTCCGGGTTGTTCCTCTTTACCTCCAACCCGATCCTCTCGAGCTGTAGGCTGTGGAGAGACGAACATCCGCCGGAGACAATGAGCAGAATAGTATAACTTGGGCCTCGGCAAGGTGTACCTTGTGCTTTAAATATATTATGCTGGCCCTTTGATTATGATGAGCTCAGAATTACCTATTGATGTGCGAAATGTCTAGCAAACTAACTACATAACTACACCCTTTAGAGCCAAGCCAAATCTGATTGGCAAGGGTCATCCAAGCCCGAGGCCGTGGGCTTTACCCTCCATGTCTTCATCCAAGGGCAACATTGCTCCCGGCTATGTGAATAAACACTTGTGGTTGTGAATGTTTCTTGCGAATGTTTCGTTTCTGGTTTGAGTCATATCGTTGCATTCCGTTCGATACACTCGTTCTCAAGCCGACATGACAAAGTGCAGCCTCTCGTTCATGCCATCTTTAACTTCGATACTGCAGCAGCACTGCAATCACCCTTTGCCATAATTTTACAACCTTTTCCCTTGCACGATGCCTTCCTTTGGAGACGACGACGATGACAGAGACTTGGCAGGTACGACGTCAAGTCCTTAGGCTAAATTGAATGCGATCTAATATAGCTTCCAGACTCTCAAGATGGCAGCTCAGACAATGATCTGGACGAGCAGATGCAAGATGCTGATGACGCTGAAGGGGATGGAGAAGCGGATGTAGAGAACGACGGAGAGGGAGAAGATGATGCGGGCGCAGACAGTGACTCGAGTCAAGGCTCCGAGAACGGATCGAGTTCTGCCCGTCCCAACCCCGAAGTTCTCCTGACATCTCCCTCTCCTCCCGGGTCATCTACCAAAACCATCTCTGATGTGCCAACTATGCCGAGTGCCAGACCTGAAGCTCTAAGTGCATCCACCTACGATATCGTACCAACGATCGCTGCTCCACAGAGTACTTCCATTAATGCGATCACAGCCACAGCAGACATGCGATGGGTTTTCAGCGGAGGATCTGATGGGTATATTCGACGGTACAATTGGGTCGACTCTGTCAACGGCAAACTGATGCTCACTGTGGCTCAGAGACATCCGTTTGTGGATACCGTTGTGAAGGCTGGAGTAATGATGACATACTGGGAGAACTGGGACGTCAATTCTCGATCCGGCATGTCTCAAAATGCAGTCGATGCTGTAGTATCTCCTGTATATTCTCTGGCGTCTCAACACCAAGGTTTATGGCTTCTGGCGGGACTTGAGTCTGGCAATATTCGCCTTCAATCAATCAGACATGAAGAAGGAAAGGAAATTGCTCTTCTACAAAAACACACTTCTGCTGTCTCCGTCTTGTCCATCTCGTCCGATGAGAAGAGTTTTCTTTCTGGTAGTTGGGACAAAAGCGTCCTCGATTGGGATCTGAATGTAGGTAAAGTCAGAACAACTTTCAACTCGCCCGCGAGTCAAGTTTCCGCTATCGAACCACGTCCGCTATCCTCTCTGCCCGTCCCCGAACAGTTAGCTGAGCCCCCCACCACCAATGGGACCTTTTCCTCAAACAATCACATCAATGGCGTTGGTCCTTCTGCTCTCACTAATGGCTTGGAAAGCAAAGAGCAAGATAGCCCACCAGCTGAAAAAGCCGACTCTCCCGATTCTTTGTTTGGTGGCGACGAGGGCGACGATGACCTGTTTGGCGACGGTGGCGGTCCAATCACAGCGAACGGCAGCCAGCTTGCCGATGCATTTGGTGAAGACGATGATGAGTTCTCTCGTGCTATTGCCGATGGACCTCGTCCAGAAGGCGGTCCAACTGATGGCGATGAGAGCATGACCGATGCCATACAGCCACTACGGCCAGTACAACCTCCGGCAGAAGCTAGCAATGTAGAAAGCGTCGCATCACTTCCCAACGGCGTCTATACCCAATCCACAACAGCCCTAGCCAATGGTATTCCGCATGCTGATGAACTTGAACAATCTGCTCTTTCGCACGATGAGCACACCTCTGCGGGGTCTGGACCAACATCAGACACTACCTTCTTAGCTACTTCTATTGATGGCATCATACGGATATGGGATCGAAGACAGCCTGATCCCGTTGCCCGAATTGCTCCTCGAAATACACCTCCATGGTGTACAAGTGCCTGCTGGTCTCCTAACGGTAACTTCATCTATGCAGGACGGCGGAACGGTACAGTAGATGAGTATGATTTGCACCAGGGCCTCAATCAGCCATCGAGGGTTTTCAAGTTTCCTCATGGCAGTGGTGCTGTTACTTCGGTGAAGGCAATGCCAAACTCGCGACATCTTGTCTGGTGAGCTTGGATTTTCTGGCTCAAGTATAGCAGCTGACAAGTGTAGTGCTTCGTATGATATCCTCCGCTTGTATGATCTAAAGGAACCCCCAAGCAGTCGATCAACAGTCCCGTTCTTGATCGTTCCTGGTCACCGCACTGGTGTTGTGTCTCAGCTGTACATGGATCCTGCTTGTAGATTTATGATTTCGACTGGTGGGAATCGGGGTTGGGAAGGCCTCTCCACTGAAGTCCTCCTTGGGTATGAGATAAATGTTGTTTCGTGATCTGTTTTATTCTTGTTCAGAAGTCTGAACTCAACGAAGAAGTCCCAGCACTTCCCAGATACAACCAGATACAACCAGCATGTTCGATGTACAAGCTACCTCGGGGACGAGGCCTCAATTTCTGTGCTGCAGAAGGGCAACGATAAGTCAGAGTTGAAAGCCCTTTGAGAAAGTGTTTCCAAATTTCAAGCTCGAAAATTGCCAAATGTTCCCTTGCTGCAAACAGCCACATGTTGATAAGTTCGGTATGCCACTGTTTGTTTACATCTCCTCATCCTGTTATTATCTTGTTACCTAGGCAAAAGCACTACGCTTTGGATGAGTGAAGTGTTGCAAGCGTTCTGTCACTCAAAGATTCACACACAAAAGTGAAACACGGTCGGTCTAGGCAGAAGTCATTCTCTGCTCTTCGTTTTGTCACACTGCCGACGATGATATTCACCAAGGAAACAGGTTGCTAGAACAGTCTCAGGCCGTCACGTGGTGTCGAAGCACTTCTACTTCTTGTAAGGACTCGTCAAAGCGGGTCGAAATCTCTGAAGCGGCTACCCTCGCTGCGCTTTATATGAGGTCCTGAGCAGCAGGCTCTACCATCCAGTTCCGCAGATAGTCTTGACCGTCAATTCAGCTTCGAGGGGAGAGTTCTTTTGATCTCAGAACTACACAGGCACACCATGCCTCTTCGGCACGGTCTTGACGTGTCCATCATCTCATCGTCCCACGAAAGATTCACAGAGTATGGAGTCAATACACATGCGCGCTCCAAGCTCGTCACGGCGAAGATCGAGGCCAGATCAGGAGTTCAGTTCTACATTGCAATTCGACCCGAATATCCTTTTCCCACGCAGCAGAACAAAAGATATGGTTCAAGCATCTTAACCAGGGCGCAAGCAGCTGATTGTCCCACCCGTCCGCTCTCCGGGCCCCCTTCCGCGCCCACCAAGCGTTTTTCAGGATGGAAGTCGTCTGCTCTCGCCACCAATCATCCCGTCGATCAGCAAGCCGAGAAGCCGTCCCACAGCGGTACCAGTGATTCCTTTTTCCAAGCATCTACTACTCCCACAGGACTCACCCCAATCCTTCCAAGTCTTACTCTCCTGACACCCAAGGACACTTTACATCTCAACACCCAACTAGACCGCTCAATCACACACACACCTGCACCGAGGCCTCCCCCCTTCGACCTCATAGTCCAAGTCCACATCGATGGCCGCCGCAAAGCCGAGGTTCGCTTCATCGTGCACCTCAACCCCAGCAGCCCAGATTACCAACGCGAAGTGCTTCTGGTAGGACGTCGCGTGCGCATTCCGAGCAAGAGCGGCGAGCCGCCGAGACAATGTTTCCACGACTGGGTGTTCACCGATGTCGGGATCGAGGTGCTGCTTGAGCGCATGGGTGTCGAAGATACCACCGGGTTGGATGCGAGAGATGGAGAAGATCACGAGGTTGCGGCGTTGGCGGATGAGCTGCAGGATGCGGCCAAGGTGGAGGAGAATGAAGAGGAGGGGGATGGAGAGGGGAACAGGGAGCAGGAGCTGAAGATCGGGAAGATCGAGGTTGTTTTCACGCGCGTTGTTTTGGGGGAGGTGACGGATGATGTTGGTGTTGCTACGTCTGAGAACCTCCATGATGCACAGAGTGAGCAAGCGATACCGAAGAGGAGCGTAGGTAAGGATGTTACGCATACGACCAGGTGAGTTTCGGCGCCTTTCCCTACCACTCTCCCCGTTCTTCCTTGGTCGGCCAATCCAGACACTGGCTAAGCCGGACCGGCAGTATCGTCCCCTCCTCAGCGGCATCCAAACCCCCAGCCTACGCATACAACCGCATCAAATGGACGCGCTACAACCCGACCGAAGACTTCTACGCCAAATTTATCTTCGACTACACCTCACGCGCGAAACTGGTCAAGTGGGGCCTGTGCGACGAGGCGGGTGTACCAGTCGGAACGGGACAAGAGAAGCAGACGGACCGTCGCAGGGTACAGCTCCACACCAACAACCCAGGCGCCGACGGGGGGGATAGCGAACAACAGCAGCGAGGAAGTCTCATCAGCCGTGGCGGTCATGGGATCGCGAGGGAGGAGCCTGTCCCAGCGACGGAGCATGCGAGCCTGCTCCAGGGCGGCGGGCGGAAGAGGAGAGAGAAGGAGAAGGACAGCGAAATGGTGGCTTCTCGGAAGAGAGAAATCGCCAGAGCTGAGGAAGGTGCACGAGCGCATGGCGTCGTAGACGCAGACGTAGAACAGACACCAGCGAAGCGCAGGGATCGCACTACCCGCCTCCCCCGTCTGGACAGAGGTGAAGCGGGAGGAAGGCGAACAGGTAACGCAAAGCACAACGAGCAGAGAAGACACAGCATCAGTGGCTATGGCGGAGATGTGGTGGACGAGTTTGCGCCGGTGGCGGAGAATGCCGGCACGAGGGTGGTCGAGCGCGAGTCGGGAGCGGAGAGGTGGGCTCTGCAGGGGGGAGATGGTGAAGAGGAGATGATGGGAGGGGAGGGGGAAGGTCCACGGATGGAAACTCCGACTGTTGGGGTTGGGGCGCAGGATTGGGGGGCCAGGTTGAGGCGGAGGAGATGAGTGGATTGATTACTTAACATGGCGGAATGGCATGTCGTGGGGCTGGGTAAGGTTTGGGTTGGGTACCTTGAGGTCGCTCGGCGAGACTCTTCAGATGCCATGAAGCGAGACTTATTCATCATACAAGTGAGATGATGTACCATTGTTTCCAGGTGGATGGCGCTGCTTCACTGCTACTTAGCTGTTTTTCCAATGCGCAAAGTGGGTGACTTTGTGACCCGGTATGTTATATATACAGAATCATTAGATCCCTGAACCCTACTCTCCTTACTTCCACATACTGTGTACAATCTCATCTTGCCACTGCAACATCACTCTCGCCCGAACAGAAGCTCCCACGCATAGCCTATCAACCACAATCTGACCGTCACTAATGCCAGCTCCACCCTTCCCAACCGGATGCCTCTCTTTTGTCGGCTAGCATTGGCGCTTTGGTTGTCTCCTACATCTTACAAGTATACCTTAGGTGGCTGGCTGGCCGGGAATAGAAGCGATTCACATCATCGACCATCTAAGCGTGCCGCTTTCTCTCTTGAGAAGATCTTGGCGACAACAGGCATCCCAGAGCACAAGGTGTGCGGTTTAGGAATTGGTGGTTGGCATTGCCTTCCGTGGTTGACGCCGAATTTGGTGGCGCTTCGTGAGACAGTCGTTGCTTTTTTGTTGTTCACATAGGGCCTTTGTACCATGAAAGTGGAGTTTTCAGTGTGGTGGAATTCTCTATCAGAGAGCTGCGCTCTGGGAAGTGTGTATATCTTGTCATCTTGGACCTTAGACTCCGGAAATCGTGCTCGTTTTGCTTTTGGGTGTGTGAGATGTCGAGTGTCGTGAGATATCCCGTCATTGAAGTTCATGCCTCGCGGGGTAGGAATCCGAATTGTTTCGGTAGGGGCTGACAGACGCCTAGGCATGAAAACATCACTGTCAGCACGAATCAATCAAGCAAGCCTCATTCGCACCCTTATTTGGAAGGGGATCATAAGCGAGCACGGTGCCTTGCTTGTGATTTCTTACCAGTTCCGCTTTCTCAGCACCCTTGCCGAGTATGCCCGCATGCACTCCAGCAGATGCCACATAGTCAACGTTATGTATTCTCTTTCTCCTCTCGACCACTGCCCAGATGCCTAACGCCAGGGCAAGAAGGGCAAGTGGTACACCAACACCAGCACCCACAACCACGGCCTGCCTATCATCGCCTTCCGGACATGTTGTTGGAAAAGCTGTCGACGGCACCGTGGTCAAGGATGCGGTTGCTGTCGCGCTCGCGCTCGCGCTCACGCTGGCCGTAGTAGCAGCCGCCGGACCACCGATGATCGAGTTTGCTTGGAACTTGTAGTTCTCGATGGCAAAGAAGGACGAGTCGCCCAGGACGCTCGAATCGCAGACCCTTCCATTTCCACACCAGAATAGAGTTGGGCCTTCAGTCCCTAGACCCGGGCATGGCCAGATATTGGCCCATGTATCAGCTACATCAAGATGCAAGATATTAGCATCTTCAACGTCTTGTATTCTCTTACTACTGGGTAAAAGAGTTGCAAGGACTTACGAAGGAGGTCGTTACAGAACTCGGGACAAGTTTCATTATCGCCCCAGCCTCCAGCGCATGCACTCCTGTAAAACAGTCCAACACCACCAAAGCAAAGATTGTTCTCGAGGCAAACCTCCGTGCCGAGACAGCAGGCAGAGCGTTCGGCATCGGGGTTGCAGGGGATGCGACCATTGGAGTCAGTTCCGTCAGGCCAACGGCAGTCAACGGACGTCAGGAGGGCGTGAATATTTCCAAAGAGAACTGAGAAGAGAAGCAGAGCTTTGATGTGGGAAAAGAGAGGGGGGCTTTTTGTGAAAACGGCCATGGGAAGTGGAATAAAAAGAATAGAGAAGCACAGGTAGGGCAGTTTCAATTTATAGAAGAGCTGGTGCCTCAGAATGGTAAACTCTAGATTTTAGAGATAGCAAAAGCAGATACGGCAGAGGCAGAAATAGCGAAGGCAGGAATAGCAAAAGCAGAATAGCAGAAGCAGATACATCAGAAGCAGAAACAGCGAAGGCAGAAATAACAAAAGCAGAACTGAAACCGGCGCCTCAACAGGGGCCCGCGTTTCACTGACCACGCATTACTCCGTAAGCGCGCGAGATTGCACGGCAGGATAATAAGATCGGGGCCGAGAAGCTACAGTATTGAAGCACGATGCATCAAATGTGATGGTTTGCGGCGCAGCGCTCTATCCAGCCCGTTCTGGTTCCGATCAACACTCCGGAGGAGTAAGCGCAGACCAGACATGGGGCTGTGGCAGCAAGTCGAGGACGGAGCCATGGGAACATGATGAGGAGGCTTGAAGATTGGTATGATGATGTGTAATTAGGGGAGAGAAGAGCAGAGATGTTTGACATGCAGCATTTCATAGCCTAGTAGTATTGTATTTATCATCTCAAGCCTCGGCAGGGAAATTGAGGATTCACGAGAACCCGAAATGTAACAGGGTTGTTGTCCGTGATCCTACTAAAGTATTTCGCTACTGCTAGGGGCAATGGAAAGGCTAGTATGATACATATGGAAGACGAAGAACAATTGCATGTACTGACTGAACAGATTGGCGAGCAGTCACCGATTGTGCATATCCAACCTGAGCTCCCCAGTTGATCTTGCTTTGTCGTTGATCTTCACTCTTCAATCTTCCACTTCTTGAGAACCACTGTCTATTCAATTTCCCCACACTACCCAACCTTCCTTCCCGTTTACAGTCTCGAACTATGGATGACCTTGTAGTCAACGACCAATTCTCTTCCTCCATCATTGATGACCAGAGCCCTGACACTTCCTCGTCCATCGGCAAACGCGCATTCGATCTTGTTGTACAGGCCACCCTGATCGATGACCGACAGACCTTGCTTAACATCACCGCTCTCCGTCATGCAGACAAGTCTGCCGTCGTCACGCATATCCAAGATACGGTATTGCTTGAAGACCGGTCCCAACATACTTTGTACAATGACCGAGTCTCCCGGGTTGCTGACGAATGAGCTCTCCTCATGGAGTTGACGGGTGAAAAGATCAACACCGAGGTATCGCAGCTGTCCAGTCTGAGTAGAAGTTGAGATGCGGATGACCTGGCATGGACGACCCTGCAAGATCACCAAGTCACCAACACGGATGAAGTGACATGGGATAGTGACCGTGTTGGCAGGAAATCCTCCACGTGGCCCAACGAAGCGGACAGTCTCGCGCACCCCTTCACTAACACGGGTCGGGCCCGACTCGTCGCTTGTGACGATCACATCCTCCTTGTCTCCATGGTGATGGGGGTGATGATGACTGAAAGGGTGGAAGACACGGTCAGCGACGCGTTCGACACCGCGTCGAAAGCTATGGTAATGACCTTCGTCGTCGTAGTAGCCCATATCGTTTCTGGGGGTGGGGTCGGCAGTACGAACTTCTTCCTTGGTAACTTCGATGTCCGCACGAGGGGCTTGACGACGGTACTCGACTTCGTAAGTTGGGTCGATGCGACGGCGGTATTCGCGCTCAGTGATGTCGATCTGAGACTCGTAGGCTTGATCTCGTGTGCGGTGGCGGTCGATCTCGATGTCGACTCTGCTGCCTTCTGCCGGACGATTGTAGCTGAAAAGGTTGTCAGTCAAACCGTGGGAGGAAAAGGAGCTGAGGAGTAACTTACCGTTCGCGAGTGAGCTCTACTTCGGGATATCTCTTATCACTTCGATTGTAGCTGCACAGAAAGTCAGTCAGATCTTGAGCAAATGCATTTCTTATGGCACCACGAGATTCGAGGCACAATGGAAAATGTAGAAAACGGGTTTGGAAGTCCTATCAGACATACCGTTCTCGAGTAAGTTCAACCTCAGGGTACTGCTGATCTTTCTCGGCGTAAACACGAATATCCTCTCGTTCTTCGCGCTGGGGTCGTCGATCTCTGACCTCGATGTCGATCTCCTCACGAGTATCTTCCCGTCCGACGCGCGAAGTGGTGCGAGGAGGTCTGACTGTGCCCTCTACCTTTGTGGTCTCAGTGATGGTAGTCTCAGCAGAAGCGTCACTCCGGTACGTAGACGGGAAGACACTAATGGGGATGGGGACGCGGGCGTCAAAGTCCAGATTGCCTGGCTCTACGGGCGCCTTGCTCTCGAATTCCTTTCAGAGCTGAAAGGTAGACGAGAGAAGACTAAGGGTTTCAAGTCTTCCAGGTAGAAGGGGCGTTTTTGGGGTGAAGCAAAGAGCTTTCTTGGAGAGGCTGCTTGAGACGGGGTGTTTGGGGATGTATGTGTAGATACAGGGATCTTCTGTACTAGATGGAGTCTCTGGATTGGAGAGACAATTTTGGATGAAGCTGTGGAATGTTGTGGGATGTGGGAGAGGAAGATGCAGAAGTGAGGAATGGAGAATGGAAAAGACGAAAGAGTGGCTGGAAAAAAGAAGCGGGCAGGGGGGAAAGGCATGTGCCTGTGGTGTGAGTGTGGGTGTGGGTTTGGGTGCGAGTCTGTGCTCTTGCTAACTTAAACCAACTGAACAAATCCAATGTCAACAAAGCCAGACCTAATCAAGCCTAATTCCACTGGAACTGAACTGCTCTCCAATTACAGCTTGGCGCTACCCAAACCCCTATTCCTTTCATTTCTACCAGGCACCACATCCATCGAAATGATCCTATCATGCTGATTGGGCTTCCAAATCCATAACTAATGGTATCCAGCATCTCAACTCAGAACCAGACTCGGAGATATTCGGCAATGATTATGGGCAGGTCTGTTCAGATCCTGATACACATGCAGAGAGCAAGCATTGTATCTCCAGGGATAGCAGCCTACGACTCGGCTATCACTCACCTCGGTCAATATGATACAGGCAACGGTTTGCACACCTCAGAAGCTGCTGGCTCGTTTTCTATCTCGCTGCAACCACTTTACATCGTGGTGGGGATTCATTGGCCCAATGTACACACTAACTTACTGATCCCAGCCACGACAGCTTTGTCGTCCAGCTCCAGCCTACCTCTCACATGCATGACTCTTACTTCCAAATGGTCCGATTTATGGAACGCGCGTTACAAAGGCAGAGAACAGCTGCAGGGCTTCTGCAAGCCACTGCATGCAGTACCGTGACAAGCTCTGGTTCGGGCTGTACGGAGCAGTTGGGGCTAAGTTTACGAGTTACGGCAAGCTTCACAGCTCTCCTGCGCAATTCAAAAAGAGAAGCAAACTTGTAATGCCTTCCCAAAATCCTCGAAAGTCCTATTGCCTCTATTGTCGGCTTTTTGTCTATACCTTTGTTCCTCATTCCTCATGCCAGTCATGAAACCAAACATGCGCCTATACCCCCGTGTACAAAATGCGGACCTGGCTAAAGAATGCCCTTTTTCCATCATTGATGCTGGATGCAGTCCCATTCATACTAGCGAACATTAGTCAGTACATGAGCGCACAATGCATATAGAGAGACCACTTACCACTCTCCCTTCCTCATCACCCGTATAGACCACTTGGGGCATGGGTAGAACACAGGAAATCCCAGCCCGAACGTTGCCGCCATCATCGCGGCTGTTATCAACATGATTCAGCTGACGGATGAGTCCCAGCTCAAAATGGCCACCACGGATGACCTTGTTCCACACCTTGACAACGCCATATTTATGTCCAGTAAAGAAAATCTCTCGTTCAAGCCATTCATTCCCAGCGCCTTCGTAAAAAGCACAAGATAATATCGAGTCTTCTGTGCTATCGCCCGCCGTTTGGTCAAGAAGCAGCTCACCGTTGAGGGTATACATGATGATTCTTGAGTCGTGACAAAGCACAATATCACCGTTGACATCGTTGATCCGCGCACAGTCCACTGGTTTGCCCTTGGTCAAGATACGCACAAATTCAAGCCGATTCAAATCCCACAAAATCACCGTTCCATCAGTCGATGCTGAGAGTAGCGCGCTGAACGACCTTGATAAAGCAAGTACGGTGACCGTGGTCCGGTGTCCGAAGAGGGACGATCGTGGCTGCAAATCCACGTTCTTGCCGGGTGAGAGAACGTTCCAGACGGAAACGGTACAATCAGTACCAGCAGTCACCAGGGTCCGCGAATCAGCAAACGTTGCAGAAGAAAGCTGTCCAATATGCAGATGCTCAAAGTGACCGAGTAGTTTTCGATTGTCCGCAGAGTAGAAACGAATGCTGCCATCGGCAAAACCCCACTCCATGTACTTCTCGTAACTAGGAGGGATATTCAGTCTGAACGCCGCCGAGCACAGAAGACGTTCTGACCTCCAGGAAAATGATAAAGACGCAACTCTTTCTTCGCTATTGAGAAGCGGAGACGGTAGTCGAGTGAGGGACTCAGCAGCCGTGTCCAAGCGTTTGTATTTGTGGCGGATCTCTTCACGTGCAGGATGGGCCTTTTGAAAGACCTGATATGGTGTTTGACCAAAATTGTGTATGATACCAATCGTGGCCAGCTGCTCCACTGAATCCGTGATGCTGTCGAGATCTTTTGCTCCCTGGTATGACAAGTGATGAAAGACGTTGACCGCTTCGATGGCGGCCTCGCCTTTTTGCTTGTGTCCAAAGACCAGGTCGACCCATTTATGTAGGTTGCGACTAACATGAGGGCTCTCGAGAGCTTCACGATGTTTTGCGATGAAGATTTTAGGGTCTCCTTTGGCCCAAGGAGGCAACTCCACGGAACTGATGGATTGGCTCGAGTTCTGGCGAGCACCAAACTCGTAGGAGTTCAAATTCAAGAGAAACTCGGGCAGATAGAAGAATTCTGGTGTCAGCTCTCGCACGTCCGTCATATTCATTCGAGATGCCGAGTCCCACGCCTTGCCAATTGAATAAAACATCCGGTCAGCGTGGTCGAAACTGCCGCCCTGCAGTAAAAGGTAGGACTTGACAAAGGGTTCCAGGCGGATAAGATACGAAGTAACGATCATGGCAGAGGAATAATGAGTACCATAGTGGAAGGCTGGTGAATTGTGGTCACCCATTTCTGCAAAAGTCGCATAACGATCTTTATACTCTGCCTCCCGTTCAAGTGTTTGACATCCCATCGGTCTGGAAAGGTCTCTGAATGTTTTGGGATTCGTCAAATCCAGCTCGTCGCTTGTGTAGTCCGCTAAAATCCAAGGGAATACGGGATATTGAGTGAGATCGTTAAATGTTCTACCGGCCATAGTGTTGATCAACATCAGATAATGGAAATTCGAAATCTCGCCTTTCACCCACCGTCGTGTGGCAGGATTGGTGGCTGCTTGTCCGAAAACATTGGCAAACTTGGATCCCAATGACTGTGGTTCTTCGTCTGGACTCCGCAGAGTCTCGAATCGCCAAGTGTCTTCAGAGCGCATGGAGGTGTTAGCACTACTGTGTTGTGGGGCTTTGGCAGCTACCAACGCGTGAAGATCATTTCTGGCCACTGGACTCATAGTAGTGAGCAGGTAGCTTCGTCCGTCGGCGAAGAAGAGCTCAAGTCCAACATCTCGGAACAGGAAACGTCGCTTGGATACACTGATCACTTCTTCCCATTTCCAACTCCTGGTCTCATGCTCATCGTTCCCAGAAGTTGGCCGTCTTTCGAACGCTTCGCGTCCCGAGATCATTCGCACGTAAGAATCTCGTTCTTCATGTGGGGCCTGCCAAACATTGACAATTTCACCATCTGCGCGCTGGAAGAAGTTATCAAGAAGGTACAGGCTGTCTTTTCCCAGAATAAGTAGACCTTCTGCTGCTTCCAGACCAATGATGCGAGATATGTTTGACACATGTTGGACCTGATCTCCCCGATGCAGGCTCCGCATAACTTTGCGATTCTTGTCTTCATACCCACCTGCATCGTCCTTAGGGTCCTCGACTAGCTCAAAACTCTCCTCGAGATCCGGCTTCTCGATACTGTGCTCAGCGTCATCTGTCACTGGCATGTCCGGGAAAGGCTCCGAAGAGGTATCGCCAGGTCTTGGTGAGATCTGAGCTGGAGTTGCGCCACCGGGAGTGACTCCAAAAGCTTCAGCGCTTGTAATTTGTGGAACACTGGTTTCGACTTTGAGAGATGCTACATTTGAAGTTTTTCGCTTTGGTTGATATCTTTCTTGAACTTCTTCCACTTTTGGCGTAATGCGAAGGCGCATCCTGTTTCGTCCTTCAGTTTGGTCAAGACGCCATTTCGTTGGAGTGGATGTTGGCATAAAGCCAGTGGGCAGTTCTACTTCCCTTTTCATTTGGTCAAATCGCGACAAAACAAAAATGGTGTTATCTTGCTGGTCCTGAGTCGTTCTTTGGTGCTTCAGCTGTTCTGAAGCATATATGTTAGACGTCCAATGGTCGAAAGTTACTTCGTGACGACGAATGATGTCTTCATTGCTTGCTTCATCTTGGGCCCATTGCTTCAGCTTTTCTCTTCGTTTGGCTACACGTTGCTTCCCTGTCTCTTCCGTCTTCGCATTCTCTTCGGCTACAAATTTGTCCCATGATCCAGCCAACGTCGTAAAGAACAAGCTATCCAGCTCATCACGATGACTATCGATCCAGTACAGGAAGGTCTCGTTGTCAAGCTCAACTAGTTTTTCAAAGCCTGATGCCAACCTGCGCTGTTCCGAACTGGTAGCCTGCTTCAAGATCGCAGATGCTTCACTTGGTCTTTGAACCAAGATAATACGCCAAAGATTGGCTGCAGACATTCGAACAGATTCTTGTGATGAAACAAGACTTGCGTACAGCAGGTAGCATATCAGCTGCAGGTATTCGGAATGTGTCTCTTCGCCCGATAACAGCACCGTCTGCCAGTATCCAAGCTTGGCGAGAAAGGGCAGATTATCGGAGTCCTGAATCTGCGAGAGGCTGAGAAGCACAGTTCTAAACATGGTTGAGCGAATGACTTCAATTGCTTGGCTACATAACCTGACACTTTTGATTTGAGAAATGTCGGATCTCTGAAGATACTCGAGAACAGATCCAGAGAAATCCAATGCTGTGTCCGCACCGCCCATGAACCATCCTTCATACAGCGCCTCACCAATGTGCAAGAAAAGACGTGCCAGATTGGACAGGACCTTCGGCTCCCATAAGACTTTCTGGTTCAGCAAGATCGTGTTGTTAAGTTGAGATAACGTGTTGCGCAGGATCCACGATTCAAAATATGTCTGATGCTCAAGGAATCCAGGCGGTGTTTTAAGGAACAATCCGAGACCGGCGAAATCCTTCCGCATCAAGACTTGATCGGTGAAAACGGCAACGATGATTTCCAATAAGCTTTGTACCACCGCATTACCGTCGTTCAGCTGTGGAAGTTTGGCAATTGGTGATGGACAAGGTTCGGGTGGATGAAGACGAGAAGAGGATGGTTGGTGCTTGCTTGAAATGGAAGGGACCATTACAAAGGACGAGCCACGCCTTAAATTGGGACCTCGCCTTCTCTGCCCTTTCGGCATGTTGGTATTTTCTGACGTTCGCAGTATTGGAGGCGCTATTGACAATGGCCGGATCACAACGTCGTTACCATCAAATGTTAGGCTGGACTCTCTCGCATTAAGTTCCACTTCTGCACTCACATTATCTGAGCCAACGACGACTGGGAATAGAATAGCAAGAAGATCCTGTACATAAGGAGAGCCGACCGTAAAGTCCCGATAATGCTGCGATCTTGTGTGTAAATCAGATAAAAACCGCACTGCTACGTGCAGAGTTTCAATATGATGGTCAGCCACAGTTGCAACGAAAGGCTTCGGCGGCGTCATATTGGACATCGATAGTCTTTGTGTATTGGAAGGACTTGACCGCCGAAACTGAGGATCCGGGATCGATGACTCCTCGGTTGGTTTGGAAGTAATCACTGTCTTGAGACCGTTTTGAAGCATTCCCATTATAACCTCAAACATGGCCGGATTGACGACCTTGAAACCATTCAACTCGAACAGGTCTAGCAGTCCGAAGAGATTAAATGTGCGGTCGAGATTCATGGAGCCGATATCAGTGTCAAAAAGGACGGCAAAACAGATCGGCCAAAGTGCTGGTAAATGCCACCAGCGTTTCAGCCGATGACGCATAATAGTAAAGCCACCAGATTTCTGCTTGAACTTCTTTACATAACTGCTGCCATGTACAACAAGCACTCTTGCCAGAATTTTAGCTGACAGTATGACAACCTCAGCGGAGGTCTCGGCAAGTAAATATAGGAGCCATTTATTGGTTACAGTCCTTGCAAATTTTTTGATCGTGAACGTGTCGTTGTCAGCGCAGAGGAAGTTAGAGTACAAGCGAAGGACTTCAACGCCGATCTGAAAACGAGACAATGTGTCATAGGGTGGCTCGGGGGATCCTGACTGTGTCGCACGCCTTGTCCGAGTATCAGAACGGTGAATACGCCTAGAATGCGCGCCAGTTGATGGTTTGCCTTTATGCACCGAAAATGTGATGAACAGAGCTATCGATCGCAGCATCTCGGCACTCATAGCTCCGGGCAGAAGTGACTTGAAGGCATTCATGAACAGAGGCATAGTGCTAGGCAGTATTGGTTCAGCTTTCAACGCATCTAAGAGTTTTTTCAGAGCCCTCATGCGCACCAAACGCCGAGAATTGAATCGGTGATTCTCACTGTCCACGCTGAACGTGACAAATTGCTGGAAATACAGTTTTTGGACAGGCTCGTCAGCCTGCCGCCAGACGTCCGTGTCCACGAGCAACACTCTATATGCAAGTGGATTATTGATGAGGGACTTTTGTGGCTTGGTGAAATCATATCCAACAAAGTCGAGGACGAGTCTTAGCAATGACATTGCAAGCTGACTTCTATCGGTAGACGACGTAGGTATGGCCATTGTATACCTTGCGTTGCCGTTGCCGAATGAATTACCGGCGGCGATGAACCCGAGCTTCTCGCGAATGATTGCAGCAAGGATGGCATATCCTTGATCCCTTTCCATTGCTTCGCTATTTCGCCAGCTCTGACGAATGGTCTCAAATAGTATTTCGACAGCCAGCTCCACCTCTTCCGTGGTCTTAGCGGCATTGACAAGGCTCAAACCAACAGCCGAGCATCCTCCAATTCGCCAGCTGGCATCATCAAGGGACTGAGGAACCGCAACAATAGGGTCACCAGTCAGCACGGCAACGCCGTGAGCGTGGGTTAAAGCCTCATTGACAGCAGGAACAGCTGCATTGATTACTACAGCGTTTCCGCCGGTTCGTGTGTATTTCCGAAGATTCCGAGCGGCCAGCTTCGATAGGGATCGCACGAGCTGGGACTCGTCGATGTTATTGCGATCTTCGCTATCAAGTACCGCAGCTGGAGAGATGTTGATCATGATTGAGGACTCGGGAATCAACATGCTTGCTTTTTGACGGACAGCCGACAATATGTCTGACTGCTCATCGTTGCCAGGATGCATATTCTCATGGCGAACATTCAAAGCTGCGGAAGCCGCATAAGTCTGGAAAGAACCAAGACAGTCCTGGAAATTTCCATAATATCGTGGTCCCAGTTGATAGAACACAGAAATCAAGTCATCGCTGAAAGTATCTGTAAAAAGCACAGATGATGCTAGGGACCACTTGGACGAGTGGCTATTTTGTCCTCTTCGTACAGCTAGGTCCTGTGGTGTCCCGAAGAACGCTTGCACCATTGCTGTTCTGTTTGAAGAATCTACAGGCGGCAGATTGGGATAGCTCGCCTTCAATTGCTCGCAGAATTCTCCATCAACGAACAGAGATGCTTTTGATGAGGATACAGTTCGCGGCTTCCGGTGTACAATGCAGATGTGATACCATTGGCCCGGCTTGAAGGAGACTGATTTAAATCGAACACTTGGCCTCGAACCCTTCATTGCAGTTTGGAGAATGAAATGCTTTGTATCTTTCTCCAGATATGCCAGGACAAAGCATTTCTGACTCGCGTCAAAAGCACCAAAAATGGTGGTGTGGGAGTTGAGGTCAAACACCTCGAACCGTGCCCACACAGAAAGCGTATAACCAGAACTGTTCGTAGGCGGGAAAGGCTTGCCAAGGGTAGGTAATTCAATTGAGCAATATCCCGCATGAGACAGATCGAAATGAAAACAAGGAGGGCATCGTGAAGCTCGTAAAGCTTTCAACAAGAAACGTGCAATCTCAAATGACGTGGTAGCTTTGGAATATATTGTATAAGCATCTTCTAGGCTGCCCATGCCTTCGGAGAACAGGGAAAGCACAAGTCCTTGGTATGCCTTACACTCCATCTCTGCACGACAGTTGTCGAACATCAATGCCAAGAGACTTTGAGATAGACCAGCTGTATGCAAAGCCACCAGATTTCGTCGTGATGAGCACATTATCTGCTGCATGATCATGGTTAGGGCCTTCTCCAGCATTTGCCATTCGATGTCTTGCCTCGGCGGGCAAGCTGACCAGAAGTTCAGTAAGTGTGGGAAGAGATCAGGAATGGCAATGGTCTCAACGCTGTTGAGATATCTGGACAGAGTTGCATAGCCTTTGTTGCCCATGTAAGATTCGACAGTGAGGGCACCGGTGGCCGCAGTATCCCTTTCGAAATCATGTTGCAAAACTGTGAAAGTATCCCAGAGCGTCTCTTCGCCCAAGGCGGTAGCAAGCAAGATTCCCATGTAACGTCCCACGTCAAGTAATTGTGCATCGTTACTGCGCAAATCCTGGTGGAGCGTGTTCAGTGACTTGTAGAGTGCTTGCCAGCCACCGCCATTGGCCTTCTTGGTAAAGTACTTCTGATTTCCGGGATGTACTTGAAGTCCAGCCACAAGAACAGCCAGGGCATCCTTCAGGGTCAAAAAGAAGCCTTGTACATTATCATTTGAGAGACTTGAACTATCGAAGTGATCTGATAGTGTTTGCAGAAAGCTCAAGAGGGCCTGAAACCCGCCAGCTCTACGGAAAGCATCCTTCGTCTCTTTCTGGCTGGCATTATCAATGAGTATGTGCCTGAGCTTTTGTAAGATCAGGCTGTCTTGTAGAGCCTTTTGTACGTCAAGCAGAGATCTTCCATCTGTTTCTTTAAGATTGTTGACCAAAGAGCCTATCTCTTCATTATGTGCCACTATTGTTGAAGCCTGCCCGGAGTCTGAGCGGTACCTCTGGGCAAGGGTGCTACTCATCACGCGAGGCGCACACGACGGCGGCACAAGCGTGAGGGAAAGGAGGCGGAGACGGAGGGGGCGGCCTGCACGATATCGATGGTTTCATAGAATGGTTAAATGAGGAACAAGTTGAAGGTGTGTTTCAAGGACATCTTTCGGTACACCTCTTGCGGTCTCAGCCCGGAAGACCTTTCGGAAGCGGTCAGGCTCAAACATGAGGGCTGAAAATCTGGTCAGTGTATGTTACAAAGCCTACAGGGTGTAAAAGCTAGGCTTCAAAGATGCAAGTCAGGCGCCTTGCTTTCAATATGAAGAGTGACTATTAACGCGATGACTACTTCACTGTATCAACACTGTATCTAGGAATAATGATGCGGCAGGTGGATCACCGCAGGCATGCATAATAGTCTAACTGATAGGGAGAAGGCCCTGTATGATTTGTCTCCATGTTCACAAATACTGTCCCGGTTAACCTCTTTCAAGTCTTTCACAGCATGTTTAGAAACTTCTCATATTCGCTTTTGCAGCCCTGGTCATGTAGTACTAGTAGCTGGCTTGATTGATCATGTGCGATGTGCAATGCGCAAGCTGTAACGAAGTCTTGATAGGCTGCGATAACAGAGAGCTTCGAGTTGACCAGGGCAGCGTGACCCTTGGCAACCACCCGGATTAAACCGCCCCTTCAGCCCAGCTTATTGGTCTATTGGTCTCTTAGCTGGAGTAACTAGGGGCTGTGCATCATCGCTCAGCAGCCTGCCACCATCGTACTCGTCTTCGTCTTGTAGTATGTATCACACGAGCTGTCTTCTTTCACCTATCTGCACCACCCTGTACGCTGTTCACCTGCTATCTCTTCCATCACGGTTCCACTCGAGATAAAGCTCTTCTCCTCTGTACACTTGTCATCGATACATTTAATCTGTCTTCAACCCTCTGCCCGTCATGAAGCGCCTCCTTGGTCTCTCCGTCCTTCCTATTCTCGCCTCGGCGTCACCTGTGCTGGTGGACTCTATCCACAATGATGCAGCTCCTATACTTTCGTCCAGCAATGCGAAAGAGCTACCCAACTCCTACATCATCGTTTTCAAGAAGCATGTCACGGAAAATGTTGCCGCAGCTCATCACAGTTGGGTGCAAGAACTTCATCTTGAGAAACAGAACACCAGGACAGAGCTCCGGAAGCGAGACCAGTTCCCATTCTCGGATATGATTTTCGAAGGGTTCAAGCATACGTATAACATTGCTGGAGGTTTCCTAGGCTACTCCGGTCACTTCGACGAGGAGACCATAGAACAAGTCCGCAGACATCCAGATGTAAGTATTTACCTGGAACCCGTCGAGAACTGCTCGAATTGACGGGTCTTATTAGGTCGACTACATTGAACGTGATTCGGAAGTGCATACCATGACCGACCCAGCAACCGAGACCAACGCTCCATGGGGTCTAGCTCGTATCTCCCATCGCAACTCTCTCAGCTTTGGCACATTCAACAAGTATCTCTACACCGAGAATGGCGGCGAAGGTGTCGACGCCTATGTCATCGATACCGGCACCAACTACGAGCACGTTGACTTCGAAGGTCGTGCACACTGGGGTAGAACCATCCCTACAGGTGAAGCAGACGAGGACGGAAACGGACACGGAACTCACTGTTCCGGCACTATTGCTGGCAAGAAGTTCGGCGTTGCTAAGAAAGCGAATGTCTACGCTATCAAGGTTTTGAGAGCAAATGGCTCTGGCTCCATGTCTGACGTTGTCAAAGGAGTCGAATGGGCCACAACCTCTCATCTTTCAAATGTCAAGGATGCAAAGAATGGTAAGAATAAGAAATTCAAGGGCAGCGTTGCCAATATGAGTCTGGGAGGCGGAAAATCTGTTACTCTTGAGCTTGCTGTTAATGCCGCAGTCGATAATGGCCTACATTTTGCGGTCGCTGCTGGTAACGACAACTCCGACTCTTGCAACTATTCTCCAGCAGCTGCCGAAAAAGCAGTCACCGTTGGCGCTTCCACTCTGTCTGATGAACGTGCCTATTTCTCGAACTTTGGCAAATGCAACGACATCTTCGCTCCAGGCTTGAACATTCTCTCCACCTGGAAGGGTAGCAAGTATGCCACCAACACCATCTCAGGAACATCAATGGCATCCCCACATATCTGTGGTCTGCTTGCTTACTTCCTGTCCCTTCAACCATCCAAGGATTCTGGCTATGCCGTTGGCGACCTGACGCCTGCCAAGATGAAGGCCACCATGCTTGCAATTGCCACTGTGGATGCCCTCACCGATGTTCCGAGCAACACTGCAAACATCCTCGCATGGAACGGTGGTGGTAAGGATAATTACACCGAAATCGTCAAGGAGGGTGGATATACCGTTGAGGCCAAGTCTTCCGACTGGGAGACTAAGGCTGACCAGCTCAAGAGTGAGCTCAAGCACATTGCAGATGAATTTGAGCACCTTGTACTCGATTACTAGGGGGGGGATGAGCGGTGGGTGGTAAACGAGGTAACCGACTTTTCTGGGGAGGCGCTGGAGCGGTAGTCCTGTTTGGCTCGAAACTTTCTTGCTTGTAATGTACTACGGCGTATTACCGCTGGCTATCTGACAGCGGTGTGCATTTCCTAGACAGCAGTCGTTACATCCAATCAAAGCACTTCACTAGTAGTATCTCTCTACCTGCGGCATATTTGGCTCCATCATAACTTGGCTGTAACCAAAGCGTGAGGCTACATGGGTATTCATACCTAAAAATCTATGTTTGGAATAAGGAGCTATTAACGTCTTTATAGACCATCATAATAGGCATATCACGACAAGTCTCCTACTCACAGCGCTCTACTTCCTTCTAACCAGTTCTCACGATGAACCTCGCATCAACCCACCCAACAGCGGCTGCCTCTCCCCGCCATCATCCGCTTTATTCCCCTCCCCCTCTTCCTCATCGCTCCCCTGCTCCGGCATATCCAACCATTCCCCACCCTTGACCACCTTCACCTTCCACCTGCCCTTCTCGCCCGCCTCGGCGAAGAAATCCTGATTCTCCTCGAAACTCCTCCCGCCACTCTCGGGACAATACATCCAGGTCCACCAACCGGCAAACGCGTTCGTGACCGCGAACACCAGGAACAGCCAGTACTTGAGATGGTTGAAGCCGATGGGGGTCAGCAGCGTGACGGCGAAATTGGCAAAGCCCCAGATGATGACGGAGATGGCGGAGCCTTGGGCGCGGGCGCTGGAGGGGTAGATCTCGGTGGGGATGAGCCAGGGCGGGACGAGCCAGCCGATGCCGAAGGTGGAGGTGGCGAGGTAGAGGATTATCACGCCGGGGATGCCGGCGGAGAGGGGGGAGATGTGCAGTTGGGTGTTGTTCGTGGCGAGGCCGCCCAGGAGGGTCAGGATGAGGAAGGAGAGGGCCAGAAGCCAGGCGGAGTGGACCAGGAGCCAGCGTCGGCCCATGCGGTCGATGAGGAGCCAGGCGAAGGTCATCATGATGAGGTAGAAGAGGTAGTTCCCCATCGTGAGGTATTCGGCGGTCATGACGGCGAAACCGAGGAGTTCGAAGATCTGCGGTCCGTACACGGAGACGGCGCCGTAGCCGGTTAGGGCCTGGTTGATTTGGCCCATCACCGTGATGACCGTCGGGTGGAATTGCGGACCGGAGGGGAAGAGCATGTCGGAGTAGGAAACCATGCCGTCCTTTTGTTCTTTCTCGTGCGCGGTGATGAGCTCGTCGAGTTGTTCCTGGGCGCCTTCTTCGCCAAACACTCGGATCAGGCTCTTTTTGGCTCTGTCTTTCTTGTTGTGCAGGACAAGCCAGCGGGGCGTTTCGGGCAAGCGGGTCGAGACCGCGAAGAGCATGATTGGATATATCTGCATGATTATGATGGGGAGGCGCCAGGCCCATTGGTTGAATTTGCTGAGTTGGTTCGTCAGGAGCAGGTTGATAGCGAAGGCCATGTTGAGGCCGAAGACGTTGGCTTGGAATTCTTGGGCCAATGCGGTGCCCCGCGCGTCGTCGGAGGAGAGTTCGGAAGAGTAGACGGGCACGACAGCGTCGATGCCACCTGAGAAAGGGTAAGTAAGTCACAATATAGGGGAAGTTTGCTGGATGAGGAAAGTGCAGCAACTGACCAACTCCAAGACCCATGACTGTTCTTCCAATGAGCATCAGAGTCATTGCGCCCTTGCTTGTCCACAATCCAGCTATGAACATCAACAGATTTCCCAAACTAGCTGTGGCAAGACAAGCAAATATTCCCGGTCTTCTGCCTTTGGCGTCTGCAAAGAAAGACGCAAGCACGGCGCCCACTGCACAACCCAGATAGTAGACCGAGACGATGACACCCACCATGGGATCGCTCTCTGCCAGGCCCATGGTTTGAAGATAGTCAAAATTGGTGTTGATGAGGGACATCAACCCCTGATCGTAGCCATAGAGGGCAATGGCGGTGGAGGAGAACAGAACTACCTCCGTCTGCTTGTTCATATACCTTCTGAGACTGGTTAGGGGGGCCATGGTTGAGAGCTCACTTCCAATGCTGCAATGACAGTAAGGAGGAAGAAATGCTCAAGAGACGATGACAATGTGGGTTCTGAGCCACTTTGGCGGCAGCTGCCTGCAGCAAATCGCGCCGTCATCGTCGCTGGAAAGGTCAGTGACAGCCGGGTCCGCATGATAGCCTTTAGGGGGAGGACATAAGGAAATCCCCCTCCACGCCAACAGAAAGCTTTGGAGCTAACCAGCAGGAATACTTTTTCTTGGCGCAGACATTCGGCTGTTAGCACTAATATTCCGATTGGTCACCTTCCCTTCTTGGTAACGCTTCAGGGCCGATGTCCACCTTTGGCGTAATCACCTCTTTGAGGGTGTAGGGCCCTCGGCTTGAACCGTGCGGAGAAAGACCGGCTACGTCGATTTTCAAGCGGTACAAGATCGCTCTCATGTCAAGGATAGATTTTCATTATCCTAGCACCAGAAATATCTAACTAAAGATACACCACAGTCTGACTCGATCAACGCAATTTAACATCGAGTCCCTATTTCTTGCTTGTACGCTGACCGTAAGCTTTGGTTGCATAATCCCCTTTGTGGACAATCAGGTCTTCCAGCCTATAGTCCTCTCTCTTGGAGAAATAGGAATCCAAGATTGACTTAACACCATCCGCATAGCGCTTTTGTGCATCAAGCGATGTGCCGCTCATATGTGGGACCATTGCATTCCCGCCTCCCCATTGGTTCTTTGCGTATCGAAGTGGATGGTCCCTGGGTGCTGGCTGTGGGAACCAGACATCACCACCATAACCATTCAGTTGACCTGATTTTAGTGCTTCGGCTACATCTTCCTTGACAACGATCGCGCCGCGGGCAGTGTTAACAAGCCATGCGCCTGCGCAGAAGGTCAGTAATATGAAGAGCTCGAGTGCAATAGGGGAACCTCACCTTTCTTCATCTTCGAGATCAGATCTTTGTTGAAGAGCCCACGCGTCTTCTCGTGCAGCGGACAATTAATGGTGACAACATCGCATTGCCCAAGCATCTCCTCAAGATCCTCTACACGTCTGCAACCAATCTCTTTCTCAACCTCAGGTTTCAATGGCTGGTAATCAAAGTAAAGTAGCTCCTTGCAGTCAAATGGTTTAAGTCGTCGGAGGACACGTTCGCCAATCCGACCCACAGCAACAGTACCCACAACTTTCCCTTCCAGGTCATATTCATTCTTCGCTGCTGCTGCGACGTTCCACTCTCCGGCTTCGATCTGTTCGTGTGCCGGAACAAAATTCCGAACCAGGTTGAGGATGGTCATAATTACATGCTCGGCAACGGAAACGACATTCGATCCTGTAACTTCAGCAACAGTGATGCCGCCATTGATTTCATTCGCGGCGTTCAAGTCAACATGGTCTGAACCGATACCGGCAGTGATTGCAATTTTGAGCTTCTTCGCCTTTTCAAGACGTTCTCTGGTGAGGTAACCCGGGTGGAAGCTGGGATATCGATGGATCAGAGAACAGCATAGGTACGGCTGACGGAAGCGGCAGTAATTCAAAACGCTTACGGAGTAGTTATGATGACCTCGGCGTCGACAAGCTCCTTGTCAAAGGTTGAGTTCTCACCCTCCTTGTCAGATGTTGTCACAAGGGTGTGTCCCTGATCTTCGAGCCACTTTCGGATGCCAAGCTCATTCTCGGTGGTACCTAGAAGGCGTGGTTGCTCGCGGGCATGGTCGCCACCCTGTCAGACGGTCAATTGATGATCCTCCGAACGCCAGTGGTTAGTCTCACGTCGTAGAGTACAAGCAAGACCTTTGACTGCAAAGAGGAAGATGCTGTTAGTGATCGTCTGAAAGACTGGCCGAGGCAAGCTGAGGCTCCAGCTGCAGCTCCCCCGCATGCCAAACGTGGGGAAGCTCCTCGAGCCAACAGGGACGATACTGGCTGTGACAGTTGACGAGAGAAAGCTCGAGTAAATACCATTTTGAGAAATGAGAACTTGCTATATGGACAGTATATGGATGGGTTTCTGAAATCAGGTGCGATAAGAACGGGATTTGTTCGGGGCCAGATATGGCACTTCTTAGACGCAATGCAATCCCCACCTGCAAGGTAGATGCGTCAGTGAGAGGTGTCACCTGAAGCCCTGTACACACCTTGTACTTGGGTAGGAAGGTATTGAAGATGGTGGTAGGTGTGGCTCTGTCGTTTTTGCGGCCCAGAGTACTTCCCTTGGTCAATCAACGAGTACGCTGTGTGTTGACAATAACAGAAGAGGTTGAAGTCTAGGGAGGTTGTATATCTTTATAATACGAACCAGATCACTCCACGCTTCCCATGCTGAATTGATCTGTCATCGTAAATGCGGTACCCCTCTTCCTCACCGGGTTCTGCCCCACTCCTGGACAAGTAAACATCAGGTGGATCATGTACTACGGTAGGAGGCATATTAAACGTAACCCCCGCTCTAGTAACAGCTTGTAACGCCAAGATAGAACGCCACACAATCGCTCAATTAGGACTAATCTACCATCTATCTTACATCGAGTGTGCATCCCATTGGCATCTATAACTACCTGGCATCTTGCTGGTATTAATTGATTGGAGTGTTATAAAATAAGATAGGATTAATTGAGAAAGCTCAACGTGTCAAACGCAGTAAATGACCCCCCAGGGTGGTACATTATTCGTACAAGCGTGGTAAGGGTATCTGTATGAAGGTTGTTAATAATTTTACTAGTAGAGAGGGTTACATTTAATATGCCTCCTACCGTAGTAATTTCTCCATCTATTTCTAGCTATTCCTTACAACCCCATAATTTATAATTTGTCCCACTCACACGTCCACGTTGCGTTGCGGGCCAGCTTTCTCTGCACAACACCAATTGCTCTTCTCGTCAAACGGGTCACGCGGCAAGATCATGTAATCCGAGTGGGCTCTGCGTCCATTCTGTATCAATAGGGACGGACAACTCAAATAGAAAACCGTATGAACAATGGGGTTACTTACTGGCTGAAAGCACCTGGAATATTTTTGGACCAAAATGCATTTGTCGTCCATCTAGACTCAAACACCACACCGTGCATTCGAGAAAGTGATTTAGACTTGAGCTGACCTGAATGGAAAGAATTTCTCCAGCACTATGAAGGATGATGATATGTCTGCATTCATGGCACAGAGTTTACGGGCTGTGCTCGAGAATGACGGTTGGGCCGGGTTGGCCAGGCTGAAATCTCTTGTTTGGCAAGCTCACACTGTCACATGCTAGTAAGTACGGAGTAGAGCGCTGTGGCTATGTGGCTGGCTTAGTGCTCGGTTTTGACACCGCACCATCTCTTCACCACAAGGCCAAAAACACGGTGATAATAATATGTCGGCAGATCTCTGGGCAAAAGCGAATGTTTCAAATATATCCTGTCATACTTCAGATGATCAGTGCCGCTCTTATTGTGAGATTCATAAATCGTCGTCGGATTTACGTCTGACTATGTTGGAAATAACGCAGCACAGCTCCTTGCGATCTCGCTCGCAAGAATGGGTGAACAAGATGCGATTCCTGGAAACGAATGAGAGATACCAGGCTCTAGATAAGCTTGACCGTCCAATGTCCTCGTATCCAGATAGTAGTACTCTCGAAATTTTGCTCAAGCTGAGAAATTGCTCGACATTGGCAGATCCTTCGGCTTATGTTGCAGTCTCTTATTGCTGGAATCGGGTAAATGTCGAATGGTTTGACGCTGAAGGTGCGTTGCCTGTTAAGGTCGTCCAGAAGAATTGCTCTACAAGGCCTTGTGTCGTACCCACGGATGTCATCCACCGTGTTCTTGCATACTCAAAGGCTCGAGAAATCAACGCTATTTGGATTGATCAAGAGTGTATCAACCAAAATGATCCTATCGATAAAGAAGATGGGATACAAGCAATGGATTTAGTATATCAAAGATCTGCTCATCCCATTGCAATTCTCGAAACCTGCTTCCACACCCAGGTGCAGTATGACGTTTTCGCCGCTATCGCCGACCCACATTTCTTTGATTTCGATCCTACCTACATTGAAGACTTGGGAGATATTCTTGGAGCCTTGGCTGACGATAATTGGTTCACACGTGCTTGGACACTGCAAGAATCGACGTCGGCAGGTGTAAGCATGCTGCTTCTCATTGGCTGCCCTGGCCTCAACAAGTCAGATGTATTTGGTCCGATCCCTGATGAGTTTGAAATCAGTATATGGGACTTCCAAGAAGCCATGGTCAATGCACGTAATCTTATCGAAGAAGGAATCGCTCAAAATTGGTGGCCAGACACAAGCGACGCCATTTATGCCTCAAACCTTGCTGACGAGCTTTGGAACCGCATTCCGACAATAATTCCAGACAGCTTCGAATCAAGGCAAGAGGTCTCCTATCGCCAAGTTTGCAATGCTGCGGAAGCTATTACCTTCCTCGCTGGGCGCCAGGTCTCTTTCTTCCCAGATAAGCTCGCTATTTTGGCAAATATGTGCAACTACGAATGCAGGATTGACACCAAGATTCTAGAGAACCCTAAATCTTCATTCTCTACTTGTGCGCTGACACTGTCGATTCTCAATGGGGATATGTCGTTATTGATGGGCTACGGCGGTAGGTCTCCCTGTGGATTGCCGTCTTATGGAGAAGATTGTCGGGCCGTGTCCGATATATTTCAAAATGATAATGATGATGATGATGATGATGGTTTACCAATGAACCACTACGGCTTTTCCTGGGGTCCTAAACCTTCTGGGAGCCTCAACAACATTGTTTATTTGGAAGAGTGCGGTGCAATGTTACGTTTACAGCCATCTGTTTTATTAGCAGATGGGTTGAAGGTCAGGGGTACGTTATGGCAGTTTGAGCAAGATATCGCGGTACCCAACACACAGGCACAGTTCGAAGCCAGATGGAAAAGAGAGCTGGATCTACAAGTTGGTGAAGACATGTGGGCTAGCCAAGGGAGACAGGAGAGACAACGGTTTCTAATGTATGAATTCGCCATGACGTTACTCCACGAGCTCCTAGACTGCGGGTTTTTTGCTCTAGCCAGAACATTCTGGCTGTTCTTGCAACCCTTCGGGACATCTGGTAGACCGTGGTTGCATTCCTTTGACGACGTCTTTGGCCGTCGAGTCGCAACAAACCAAGAAGACTCAATGTCGGATACTCTTGCTCAAGACCTTCAAAAGCAATGGCCTATAAGCTTACTCTCCGTCGATCTTGAGTACTACAAGATACCTTCTATTCACAGAAAACTCATCGAACAAGTCGGTCAAAGCGGGACCTTACTATTTGGTAATCCGTTGACCAAATCAATTGAACCTTTACCTTCTCAGCCCTATGTTTGGTTTGAGAACACCAGGAAGGGTGAGTTGATTTTCACGCCATTCACCACCATGGGAAACGAAGCGGCTCTCTCTAGTTATCGCGAACGTGCTATATCGTGGCATGTAAGACAGACTGGTAGGATCGTTGATGCTTGCGAAACCCTACATTGTCTGAGCCGGAGACGTGGATTCTGGCGTTTTGAAGGCTCGGAATCGAGAGACTACGTCCTGGAGTGAGAATTTTGATTCTGACGCTTTATGTCAGCCCCCCAGTAACGAATTATCTTTTAATTGCGTACCCTGAGTTTCCAGTGACCTTCGCTTCCTTTGAAAGACGGTTACGGGGTAGCCAAGTGGCGGGGAAATCGACGCAATTGAGGCTCAGCAAACAGGAAGCATCTCCAGCGAGGGTAGCCTAGCAAAGATCTCATGAGGAAGCGGAGCCTGGCCATTCTCCATGGATGTCTTCGCATTTTGGTCGACCAGTCCTCTGGTATAGTCTAAGAGAATAGGTTACGCATCGGCGTCGCCATGTATGGCCAGACCAACCTTTGGCATGAAACGGTCGAGGGAGCGTCGAAAGAGAGCATGGGGCAGGGGACCGGGTCGATTAGGGGCCTGGTCCATGCCCAGACAGGGAGCCTGAACGAACGGCGCAGTGGGCAGGAAGGAGCGCCTACCCGGGATGGAAATGAGGGAGGGAAGTAGTAAATGACAGAGGAGCTGCTGACTCTCTATAGTTTATAAAAGCGGCGAGGAGACGTTGACATCAAACGAAAGCTTCAAGGATCATAAAGTGGTGAGTGCGGCAACTTTTGGTCAACACAGATTGAAGGGCAAACGTACGCGAGTGGCAAGGCCCGAGAGCTGGAACCTGGCAACCTGAAGGACACGAAACTGGGCTCTCCGAGCTGGGAGAGGGGCCCAGAATCTGGCCCTTGTGGGAAGCTCAGCGTAGACTTCATTTATTGCTCAGGGCTGTTCAGGCTCGGAACAGCCTTGCACAGCCACCGTTGAAGACTGCTTATCCATCGCCCAGTTTACAGTTACGCACGCTCAGGTCTCAAACTGGAAATGGAGTTTGGAGAGGTCAAAATTCGGGTGTGGTAATAGTGGTATCCAACCCTGGAGCCTATTTAGAAGCCTTTCGTGGAGACTGAAAGTGGTAAGTGGAAGGAGGCACAGGATCGGAAGCTCCTGAATGAGAGCTTTGCTGTAGCTGTGATTCTTCTGATTCTATTGATATAGATAAATAGTAAAATAGATCTTGATTGACAATATTGCTTCTTTACGTAGTAAATTCTACTTTCTCAAAAAAAAAAACAGAAGGAGTTCGGTATCATAATGGTATATCAGTTACATGATATAGATCCATATATACCCTCACGAACTGTTCCTGTTTGGGAACGCGGCGCCAACAATTCTCGATGCAACGCCAAGGATTCGCAATACCTTCGTGCAGTTCTGAGAACTAGGGAACCGTAACCGTCTTTCAGTACGTTGCATGCTCGATCAGCAGAAGAAGGGCTACTGCATGAATGGCTGGCCCTCGGATAGTTATGTCAAGCTCAAACCTTTTCCGATCAGTCAGAGCTTGTCGGCCGACTACGTATTGTTCAATCCGACAACAGCCATCTACCTCCTGCAATGGCAACTCAGCCTTTCACACCGCTCCTGTCCGAAAGCAAGAGACCTACCAACAAAGATATGGAAACGCTGCAGAAGCTCATTTACCTCCTCCACCACGCCCCAAGGATGACATTTTACCAAAGAAGCAGGAATTAGCCCGGAAAGGAGCATCCACTTCAGACACCGCCCAACAAGACCAGAAAGATACGTCGTCAAATCTTGCATCTGGAACAAACTCGTCGAAGAATGTTGCCGAAGAACGTGCGGCAACAAGCTCGGATACACGAAATGTGTCTTCACAGCAGGAGGCCAGGGAAGTGAAAGAGGAGAAGCCAGTAACTCCTCTGGACATTGTTCTACAGGCTACCCATCCATCGGAAATGTACGGCGAGCAGCATAGACATCCTCATCTTGCGCCTTCTCCTTACGAGCATCATTTCGATACATATTCGTTAGTCCAGGATCTGGCCAAAGGTGGCTTCAGCGAGGAGCAAGCAGTGACAATTATGAAGGCTATACGACTCATGCTAGCGGTAAACCTGGACCTTGCTAAAGACGGGCTTGTCTCGAAGTCAGACGTCGAGAACGAAACCTATCTGTTCCGCGCTGCCTGTAGCGAGTTGCGCACCAGTCTACAGACCTCCCGGCATTCGGCAAGCCAAAGCCAGAGGACACAAAGAGCACAACTGCATCACGAGTTTGACATTTTGAATCAAAAGGTCACCCAAGACATGCTTACATTACGGGAGGAACTGAAAGCAATGTTCAATGACAGGAAGATGGCTGTCCAGGAAGAAAAACGAAGACTAGACTCAAAAATATCCGAGCTAGGTTATGAAATCACGGTCCTTTTGAACAGCGATAGCAAGAGCGAAGTAGAAGGTTTACGTTGGGTTCTGACCAGGAGGGCTGCTATGGCCATTGCGATAGCTGCTTGTGAGTACAATATGTTTCGAGTGTCTGTGTTCTCTGCTCACTCCTTCCAGTGATGACGCTGATATCGTTGAATTACTCTTCACATGTAATGCGCCAGAAAGAGGAAGCAGAGAAGAAGATTGCGGCGGCAAAGAAGAAGGTAGCTGAAAGAGACGAAGCTCGATATACCACTCCAGCCCGGGATCAAGGCACCCAGACGCCTTCCACTCTTGCTGAGTCCTTAGGCTGAATATTCGAGAACCTGAAGGGAGCATCTATCATCTTCCAGCCAATTCTGATCACACCTGAGCTGCCAGATCAGTAAGAACCCCTTTCAAGCTGTGGTTTGGCAGATTGCTTGTTGAGGCACATGGCCGGAACCTCAAGTGCCCTATAGATATAATCTACAAATAAGAGCCGGCAGCCTCAAGCACTTAGACGGTCAGGGCAGAACTCGGTCGTGTTGGAAGTATTGAGGAAGGAAACTGCTTCGAAGGGGGAAATGAGAAACTGATGGGCAACCGGCCCTTTGCGCCTGGAGAACCCCGCGCATGCCAAGGTGGAATTTTACTATCCCTAAAGTAGAAAAGAATCAACACTCCACCATTTCATTTGCGTGACAAGTCAATCTGTTCATCTAATGCTGGAGATCGTGTCTTTTCCCAGTATAAGCTCTCTTCTGTATCATTACCGCCGAGATGTTAGACTGGCTAAGTAGTGATCAACGCGCCTCATACGCCGAATCCTCCCAGATCCTCGATGCGCCTGAAACCCCAGCTCCGCTCTTTGCGTATCGCGCTCTGAAAAGCGTGCTGTTTGGCTCTTACGACGACGAAGATGGTAATGACAACGAGAAGGAAAACATCCCGCTGGAGACGCGCCCAAGCCAAGTCTCTGTCAACTCGCAGAGAAGTCCTCTCAAGCCTAAGTCCTCAACTCCGCAAAGACCTACTCCGCGGCGCATGTTGTCACCCGCGAAGAGCATTCTACGTACTCCCGGCATACCAACTCCGCGGCGTCAAAACGTTTCAGTCAAGTTCAAGGATGTCAAGCAAACATTGATGAACCTCAGCACGGTCACCGAGGGACAAGTATCTGAGAACAAAGGAAATCTGCAGCCTCCTGCGATCATGCCTTCGGAGTCTACACAACCAACGGAGCAAGCAGCAGAATCAACAAAGAGGCCACAGGGTCCCAACGCCGAGGCGGAGCTAGAGGTGTACTACAATGTTAGGGAGATCGATGCATATATTGCAGTCACGGAGCGCGAAATGAAGAAGCTGGTACGCTATGGTCAGCGAATGCGAGAATATGCGAGGCTGTCACAGAAAGAGAATGCAACGCTTAAGAGAGAACTGGAGATTGTCAGGAAAGAAAACGAGATGTTGCGGTGCAGGGAGGGTCCGCCTATCAACCAAGAGAAAGCGGGAAAAACGCGCGAAAGCAATGGGCTCTTCGATATCTCGCCTCCAAAGCACATTCCCAAAGCTGCTTCACAAAGCTCTCCTGAGGATGGGCCGGAAAGAGCTCACCATATACTGGAAGATCAGGCTCAGCATCCGCTGCACCCGGACACTGCTGAGAAGAAGCCGGGGAACCAGTCTTCAACAAAGGTGGCCAACACCAAGACCAAAACCGACTGCATTTCGCCTCAACCCAAAATCGCGGCACCTATACAACGAGCATCAAATGTGAACAGTTACCCAGCAGACAATACAAGAATGGCTTCGAAGATTCAGCTACCTCCCGACAGACTGGCGGCCGCAAAGGCGAGGTTGCGTATGAAAAGTGAAGAGAGAAAGAAAGCCTTAAGCATGAATGACCAAGTCCAGAAGGAAGACCATGGCTCAAGTCTTGTTGATTGGCAGGACTTGTGAGGTATACAGAGCGCGCACGGTACTGTCGCTCAGAGACGTGTTCAGTCGGTCTCAACCGTCTGTTGTCTTCTCGAAGGGCTTATCATTAATTTAGTAATGGATATGGAGGAGACTTCGCTGGAGCAGCATCATGAGATACTCGAACAATCGATACAAGAATGCCGACCTCTGTAGGTACGACAAGAAAACAATCTTGTTCGGTGATCTCGCTTCTACGTGTGAAATCCTCGGCAAGAAAAAACGGGGTATATGGTATCTTCTACTCTGCGTGCCCAGTTGCAAGAACGTTCCCATCTGTCAAGATCTGTGTGTTCAGGCCGCATGTCATCTTTCCTACCTGCATGGCTCGTCCGCCCCTTTACAATGTGACTGCGTTCCATTCACGGCTCTGCCTCATCCAACCAGTCACGAGGTGTAAAGCACAGGTGTACATGCGTAGCTGGGCAGGCGCACCTCTATACCAGCTCTCCGCAAGCTTTCTCACCAGCCAGTGAAGACATGGGAGCATGCTGGCTGAGCAACACAACCTAGCAATGCGTTACTGGTTGTTGAACGATTATCAATCCCGGACACCGCAAGCGGCAAGGGAATACAAATGGCTGTTGCCTTGCTCGTTGTCGTCCCTCAAATACCTTGTGGACCAAGCGTTAATTCAAGAATCAGAGTACGATGGGTCATCTCAGACTTCCGGACAGTCCAGAGGTTTTCTTCTTGTGGCCAGAGCAGGCAGTCGAGTCATAACGAGGATGAGAACGTTGCGCACCCTGACACTTTTAGCATTGTTCAAGCTTCCTTGCTCGCAGATCACGCGGTGCCGGACGGTGGCTATGGATGGGTAATCGTCATGGGGTGGGCCGTACTATCGTGGTGGTTGTGAGAAGGCCTGACAGATGGGGGTGTGGTTCAAGCTGCACTCGCCCTGACCAGTTTACCCTCAACCTTGACTATGTCGTTTGTGGGATCTGAGATCGTGGCTTCGACTGCCGTGTTGGGTTTGGTCAAAGCTCGGGTCATACGTGCCAGAAGGACAGGTATCTCGGGTGTCATTATACTTTGGTTCAGAATAGAGGTTCTGAGTGGTTCCACGACCCGTAATGTTGATGGGCTTTCCGTCACGGCAAGTTATGTCGTAGGAGTTGGGACCAGGCATGCCTGTACTCCGCTTTCTTCCAAAGTGTCTTACAGAGATCGTGGCCCTATAGGATCACCAGCTTTTGTCGATCTGTAGGTGGAGCAGATTCCGGGCCGTCTCTTGTTCCTTTGCGTACAATTGAGCAACAGGGTCCGTCTCCGCGATTCGAGGTTCCCTCTTCTGTTCTTTGCGGGCCCTGTCGCGATATTTCCCCTGTTTATGCCACCTTTCTTCCTGCCACTCCAGAGCGCCTCTCTCGGCATGTATTCCAGCTATGGGGCCGGGCTTGTTGCAGGATTCAACTTGTCTTCCACCGTTGGCGGTCTTTCGTGCCCTTTTGAGTGATGAGATAGGACCAGGGCGTACGCTTCTCATATCGCTTGTCCTTAGCGCTGGAAATTATGTTGATATTGTGGGGCCTTTTTCCAGCTCGGAAGGTCAATTAGTAGCATTCGTCGCAAGCAACGGAGCTGCTGATGGAGGGTTCTTTGCTGGCATGCCAGCCGTTGGGGGAGAAGTTTTTGGATCTGCTAGGGTGTCGGTATCAGAGGCGTAATCGTACTAGGGTGGTGGTTATTTCCTAGTAGATAGTTGGCTTTATGTATGGCTTTAAATATATGTTGTATCCGATATGGATGGTTTCATCACAGGGAGCTTCAATCACAAGGTTCATGCTTGATGTGTAGGCAGGAGAGCATGGAAGACTTGATGCATATCTTCCTGCCATTTTCTATGCCGGTTGACTGGCTTTTGCTTCGTCTGATCTGGTAGACTTCGTGTGTGTGCATCATGTCAAATTCATACTTCAGTAACTGTAATCGTCCCGATGTTCTCCGTATCCGTTTCGCTTCAAGAAGCGACTTAGTGGATGAGCCTCATGCATCAGGAAGGAGAGAAGCTGTTGTGAACATGATATTATGTGGGGAGAAACAGCGGTGAGGCCTAGGCCTATCATGGTACTCTAGCAGTCAAGTCAAGCCCATATATATTCACTTAATACTAAAGGAGTCGCCGGTATTGTGTTGGCTCAGAACAGAATATATTAATTTCCCGAATAGGAATTTCGCGAATTTGATGACTCATCTCCTGGATGGCAACTTTATGTCATCCTCTGATTCACTCATCTTGGATAACTATCACCTGTCTCGCATCCATCACTGATCATAAATCCCAAAACAAGAACAGCATGTCTGATGTCAAAGAGGAGGTGCATGGTCCAGAACCACTTCGCCATCTTCCCTTCCCTCCTGTGACGAGATCACACATCCTCCAGTGCTCGTATCATTCTTGGCAACCAAAGTAGGTTATTCTGACATCGCTGAGAAAGTCTGAACTTCTAATGCACGAAAGCAGGCTGCGCTCTTTGACGCCCAAATCTCGCATCATTCCACTTAACGACGCATTCCTCGCCTACCTCCGCGCCGACGGAATCATTCTTCCGCCCGAGCCCTCGACCTCTAGTGCTGATATTAACTCTGATAGCGGCTTCGGCACTGATTCAGACTCGGACGATGAAGAGGATCCCTCTGCTTCCTGGTCAGAACTTCATGCCCGCATCCAATCTACTATTGCAGAACTAGGAGGCAAGGTCTTGCCAAAATTAAATTGGTCCGCACCTAAAGATGCGACGTGGATCTCACCCACGAACGATATGGAATGCCGGACGGCAAACGAAATCTATCTGCTATTAAAGAGTAGTGATTTTATCACCCACGATCTAGAGCAGGCATTTGATGGATGCGTGGCCGATGAAGAGCCGATTCCGATACCTTATGTGCTCGTACTAAGGAAATCCTTCAACATCAACCCTTCGCTGGAATTTCGGTGTTTCGTCCGTCACCGCATACTGATTGCCGTGAGTCAGAGAGAGATGAATTACTTTGCTTTCTTGTTCGAGATGCGGCCGAAATTGCTGGAGAGGATACAAACATTCTTACAAGATGACCTACTGTCTTCAGAATACTTCTCTAATGGGGACTTGGAAAACTTTATCTTTGATGTCTACATCCCACCTCCTCATGATCGGGTGTGGCTGATTGATATCAATCCCTGGGCACCTCGAACCGATCCATTGCTGTTTTCATGGTTGGAGCTCTTGACTATGCCAGAGCAACCTCCCGCAGCGAAGGTGGAGCGGAAACAGGCAGGATCAGGAGAAGACCGCTCCGATGATGACGAGGCAGAAAACATTCATGAACCAGAGTTCCGCCTTGTAGGTCGTGACGATCCCGAGGCATATCAATTCAGCTCGACGAAGTATAGTGCCCACAAGCTGCCGAAAGATGTTGTGGATGCGAGTATGGGGGCCGGGGGAAGCGGTGGTATGGAAGGAATGATCAGAGAATGGAAGAGAGCTTTGGATAAACAAGTCGAGGAAGACGACGAAGTCAGCAATGATGAGGAGAAAGGTTGGGAGAGCGTTAGAGCGCGGGCTAGTAGTTGACGACTCGAAATGGCGTCAATGTTCTCATCAAATATATCCTACTCTTCGACCAGAAGACCTCGTTTCGAGCGTTTGCTTGTGAAGTATCTTCCAGAGTCTCAGAACTCTCGTTCTAGAGCTGTTCAGACACCACGACGGGGGATTCTATATTGCGGCCAGATACCGAGCGAAGGTGCTGAATTCACCGGAATAATTGTATGATTATAGGAGGTAACAGATTCACAGGGCCATCTTCCAGTCCATTTGTGCTTGTAGGCTGAAGACCGCGAACGTGATGTTAAGCGTGTGGTTTACAAGAATCGAGACTTGGAATGGCTTTTAAAAACCATGCTGATTCGCGGTATGGTGGGGGAATTGGCCTGTTCGACTTCCTTCTTCCTAGCCTTACCAAATTGTTGAACTCAAAAATACAGTTTGCGCTATTTTGCTACGTGTGTCACCAGCGTTTTGTTACAGATTTGATACGCGTTTTGCATCAGCCACGCATGTATTTTTGGTATCTGCGTTTCGCGCTATTTCGCTTGATATAGCAACTTTGTACGTATAAATGCGCGCTCCTCGCACTGAATTAGATAGAACAACTTGCTATTTCCACACTGATCCGTCGATTAGTCAGCACAGTTCGTCACAAATGTTTTAACATGCACCTCATATTTAGCTCCGCTCTTAACCTTTTTCACTAGCCTCTCACGAGTGAATGTCAGAGCAACGAGACTCATTGTTTTCTGTGCAGCAGGTGGGAAAAAATGGCTCTGTTCGTTCAAAAAAGCTGCGCAGGGCGCAGAAATAAGTACAAATTTGCTGTACCGCACAGCGAGATTAGCCGCGAAATCAGCCGCGAAATCGCAGCAGAAATTAACCAATCAAACCCAGGCGAAACGCGCAGGGATTTCGCGTAGAAAATGCAACTACTGTTCGGTTCCTTGCTTGTGTGACGAAAATCTATAACCGCAGCAGAATTCTGCAGCTTGCAAGACGTGCCAGCCAATCACATACTTGATTATGTGTGATTCAAGACCATATGATGCTCGCATGCATAAATCAGAGCAGTTTGATAGATTCCTACTCAAGCTGCGCAAAGGCTTGGGAGGGGCCAGAATTTTGCCCCGTGAAGCGCATCAGCCTCATCCGTTTATCGTGAATTCTCCCTCTTTCTTCAACTCTGGTGCGTGGTGTTACGTGCGATATATCAGAGGAATTTGTTCTCATTATACGTCAACATGTCTCGTTCGCTGCCCACGAGCGCCCCGATTATTTTGATCACGGAAGTTACGACTCTTTCGCCCATAGGCGCCTCGACTTTCCCAATTGCGACTGCTTCCAGTGAACAAGGAGCATCTACATCCATGCCCGGCTTGATTTTCCCTCCAGCAGTCACATCCGTAGAGGTGAGCACGACCATAGTGGTGGCGACCGGACCAGATACGGTTATTACATCCGTGTCGTCCACACCCACGTCTCTATCAGGACCATCGACATCATTATATTTGTCCTCTGCGTCCTCTTCGTCCTCTCCATCCTCTTCGTTGACATCACCAGCGTCATCACTATCACCACCAGCTTTACCTGCCGCAGGCTCGTCGCTCAGTGCAGGTGCAGGGGCAGGCATTGGGATAGGAGTCCTCGTCCTACTGCTCTCTAGCATTGGAGGCATCACATTCTTCCTGTGGAAAAGACGACGACGACTGCAAGCCCGAGCTGAAATGGCCGGATACACAGAAAAGCCACAGTTAGCGGACACATCTATTATGCCTGAGGATGCAGAATCCGGAATCATGACGGTACCGATCGAAGACAGGCACGAGCTCGAAGGATCGTCGACTCCGCAGCTGTCTTCGAAGAGTGCCGCTGAGCTGAGAGCTGGACCATACAGCAACAGACATGAGCTTGAAGGCCGGCATAGGTGAAGTATGCGTCATGCTTCATTGCTAAAGACCTGGCTTACAATCGGTTAAACTCCACTAGTCGTACGAGGCACAGATACTACCGACTTTTTCGTATCAGGTAATCAGGAAACAGTCTCGTGTTGTGACACTCGTCAGAACAAATCGTCCAGGATCCAACAACCGGGCAACGGCTTGAAGAGGAGGCGCAGCCGGAGCAAGCAGCGACTATTTGGATCTCACTCTACTGAGCCTTACCTCTATTCGACGCCCAACCCGCAAATTCACCTGGGGAGACGATAATGAAATATCCAGCGTGGAGGCGCCGTACCGCCGCCCCTGCCGTTTGATCGTGCGGTGTGTTGCTGCTTGGGGCAACTTGACCGCTACCATAAGAGCGATAGCCCGTGCATCGACAAATCGGCGAAAGAGAAGCCATCCCTTCGCACGCCCAAGGTTGGCAAGGGAAGTAGCCCCCCGCCTCCACCTCTGCCATGATTGCTGCATCCGGCCAGTGATGGGAGGCGACTGAGAGGCCCAGGAGATCTACAGGGAGGCAATGAGGAAATGGGACAGCATTAGTCATCCAGGAATCGCAATAGAACTGAGGAGAGCCGTGAGAGTGGGGAATCTTCAGAGAAGGACAGGATGAGATGGAAGGAGGAGGAGTATGATTGAAGGGGGGAGTAGAAGAACGAGAAGGGACAGGCAGACGAGGACAGACACCAAGAGAGATGAATATCATGGTGTGAAGGCACGCAGCCTCTTGGCGGGCGGTACATGTGGATGGGTTAGCGGAGAATCCCTTGACGCGCGACACTTATATATACCACCTACCCATGACTATATAGTTATTTCGACAATGCATGTGTATGTTTTTCCTTCTGATACTAAAAAATCCTTTCCTCGTTTGAGGTCCGAAGTCAGGCGTGGTGTATTCGGGGCACTCACCGTACACCACCAACGTTGAGATTGAGGTTGAGATTGAGAGCAAAGGGGGCGGGGGCTGCTCCCGCCATCACCATTACCATTATGAGATGGAATGAGACGAGACGAGATGAGAAGGTCGTGCAACCAATCAATCAGCCAGACAGACAGAGCCTTGGGGATTCAAAGCCTACGGTCGAGGTAAGAAAGTACGGTACGGTACAGTAGCGGCGGTGTACGTACTTAGCCCAAGGGAAGAGGATATCAGCTGATTCCACAAGCCTTCTCCCCTTCCGTCGCAGTACGCACGCACACATGCACACAAAGAGAGAGGGAGGGAGAGATAGAGCTCTGAATAGCCCAGCCACGCCGAGAGAGATGAAATAAAGCTGGAGCGAAACGAAAACGTGTCTTTCAAGCCCCCAACTGGCTAACACATAACAGGGAAGATAAGAAATAGGCGCATACTTTTTCTTCTTCTTCGTTCCTTTCCTTGTCATCTCGTCTCGTCTCCATCTTCCCTTCTTCACTAGCGATAACTTCAGAAGTCGAAGTAGAGATGAGCATATGTAGAAGAAAAAGTTTTGAAGAAAAAAAGATATCCTCACTGCTTCGGTACTGGGGGAGGGGGTTTCTGAACTTATGTAGGGTTTATCGTGTCGGTAGGGTGTGTAGAAGGGAGGAAACATCATTCTTGAGTGTAAGATGGGTAGCACGGTGTTTTGTGGTATAAGAAGTAGAAGCAGGGAAGGAGATAAATGGGCCATGCCGGCTAATTCGGGAATGAAATTCGAAATAGATGCTAATGGAGGAAGAGAAGACATCCTCATTACATCGCTACCTCAAGTTGGAACCCGCGTATCGTATTGGTAGAGCCAGTAGAAGGAAAATATTATTTTAGCAAGCATGCTGGCTAAGTCGACGACAGAGTTTAAAATAGATGCTGGTGGAGGTATAGACGGTAGTTCAGGAATGTGTAGATAGCCATGAACGCGCAGATGGGAGTGGATCTGAAGGGAGTGAGAATGCTCTGATACGAGTTTGATTGTGGCTGGAATGCGTCAATCAGCCACATTGGAAAAGATTGGTATTATGGCTCTGGTTAGGCTCTTGCCTAGAGGATCTGAGACACAAATAAAGGACAGACAAGGGGTTACAGGGCTAATGCTCCATCGTGCGTGAGCAGCCGCTTGTATGCTTGCATGCACAGTGACATGCGGGGCTATGACATGATGTGTGCAGCTGAACAGAGAGTACATGATGAAGTATCGTACTCATTCGGAATCCGAGAAAAAAATTCGTAGGCGTATGCAACCAACGAAGTGAGTCATTAAAATGCATTCAGATGACAACAGCGAAGACAACGACTAGCAGCTCACGTAGGGTTTGCTCAGACGAGGTTGAAGAAAGAATTGGTGTCATCATCCTGGCTTGAGGGTCTGGAGAGTATTTCTAGGGTAATATTGAGTAGGAGGCTAAATGGAGGTGCTCGGGTAGAGGTGAGTAGAGCGCTCCGGACATGCATGCATGACGAGATGCATGCTGCATGGGGTATATGTAGGTAAAAGAAAGCGCATACGAAAAATAGGAGTTGACTGCTAGAACGGGCAACAGAGGCTGAGGTGGCGTGGTAACATCTCAGGCAACAGATTCAGAACAACCAAGACTCAAGGAGCAACGCGCATTAGGCTACCCAGATCAACCACTAGAAAGGCTGGTGATGCGTAGCCTTGGTCTCAACGACCTGAGTAGCACAACCACCTGTGGCTAGTGAAAGTCAACTCAATCAATGGAGATAGATATATGCTTGTACGGACGGATGGATGATGACAACATGTGTGACAATGGTGTGATATGTATGCAAGTGCGGCTCTACTGGTTTGTCCTATCAAGCGAATGATCGGCACCTGAAGGGAAAGGGAAAAGGAGGCGGCTGTTTCGGGAGTGATATGTAGAGCCTCAGTATGTGCGTGTACGTGTGCGTGTGCGCGCTAGGGTAAGAGCGGGAAGGTAATGCCTCGAGATACTACGTAGGCTCTCGGGTAAGTGTTGAAATACAGAGTAGTATTTCAAGTCGGCTGCAAAGATCACGGTTCCTCCATCCGCAACCACTCAGGCGTAGTCACCCCGCAGGCTAAGCAATCAATAGATAAGGCTGCCAGGTAGATGCATGGAGATCGATAGCTCTGCTGCAGCTGAGCATGCAAGCAAAACTACAGAGATAGGCGATCGGATGTAGGTGGGAACGTGCAGCATGTTACATGTATCAAGGCAGAAAAATAGACAATCGCTGGCCCGAAGGAGTCATTGGAGTACATAGTGCTACATGATATGCAGGCGCGGGAGGGAGGGAAGAGGAAGGGAAGGGGAAGGGAAGGGGAAGGGGAGGAAGACAGGCAAAGATCAGCGGGCCGCCGCCCGCTCTGGGCACTGGTCACACATCACAGTCAGAGTCATGCTCATAGTCATGGTCACAGTTATAATTACATTCATAGTCATACTCACATCATGTTCACCTTCACCTTCACCATCACCATCGCCTTCGCCTTCACCTTCACATCTACATTCGCATTCATATCCACATTTTGCGGGATTTTGGGGATTGACTTTGTATAGTCAGGCGGGCCCATCCGCTCCCAAGCCCACGCACACGGTACCGAAGTCCGAACCGCGAACAGTGAACAGCGAACGTCAAACTTCAATCTGCACGACATCCTGTCCGCTTGGCACGTCTGAACCCACTGCACCCTACCCCTGCATCGGAAAACGTACTACGTAACAATATTTGGAATTATGGTCATCTCTCAGAAAACCACTCACGCGCCGCATACGCGATAAAGACGTCAGAAAATGCAATGAAAAGAATTCTACTAACTGAGGCATGAAAAGAACTATGACGTAACACCGACTGCTTCCACTCCTGCTCAAGCTCCGGCTGCTGTTCACACTCAGTCAGCATCAGATCGAGCCTCTCTCTCCAAGTATAGATAGAGTCTTTACTCGTGCCCCTCTACTCCGTACCTCATTTGTCTTCTACAGTCTGCGGCCAATCTCGAAAGAAGGAAGGAAGGAAGGCTCGACCAGAAGATAAGGAAATGAGTAGAATCGCCTCTTTTTCCCCGAATGGTCCACCATGACAGCCACGGCCAGGATAACTAAATACCAGGGCGCCAGGGCGCCACTGAAGCCAAAAACGAAGCGATTGCGCCCTTCGACAGCAATAAAAATAGATAGTATTGGCGAAATGCGCACACATCGTACAATTTCTCTTTTTGCGAGCTTTGAAGCAATGAAAATGATGAGACAGCCACCCAGTAATAAGTAAGAGAATCAATCAGCGCACTGACAACGCTCGCAATGTAAGGACAGGATATGTAAAGAATTGTGGGTCGCCCCGGATATGTATGTGATGACTCTTGTGTCGTGTCTCAGTCTCGCCTCGTTCACTGCTCGTATGTCTCCGTCTGAGCCAGCTCTTGGGGAACCTGCCCCCTTCGATTTATCGCCTTTTCGGCTGCCAACAAATCTCGCCAGCACGGCGCCATTATGACACCTTACTTCTTGCCATCCAATTTGCTCAGCATATCACTGTCGTCCTTGTGTCTTCTCGGACCGTTACTGTCGACTTCGGAGCTTCGAGGGTTGTCAAGCATAGATTGAACGCTCATATTTGCACGCCCATTGGCAGACCCAGGAGCCGAGCCAGATAACCCTGGTGGAGGCGACCTTCCTTCGTCACGAATGGGAAGCGTTCGAGGCGAGTCATAGGAATGGGCAGACTGCGGCGAATGTCGGCGTGCTGTCTGGGGCGCAGAGCCGGTGTACGGGTAGCCAGATTGGTATGATGTCGTCGAAGTCGAGGGCGAAGTCGGTGCGATATTCGTCGGGTCTGGATAATCATAACCGTTGGCAGTACTATTGCGTGGCTCGTGTGAAAATCGAGGACGTGTACTCGGATGCGGAGACTGAGAAGAATGAGCACTTTCATTATGAGGATCATCGTCAGGTGGGCCGCGTTTTCGACTGACATTCTCGTCTGCTTGGGGAGGAGGTGGTGGTCCCTGACCACGATAATCATATGGAGCCGGCGGCCCTTGAGAATGCGGCGGCGGTGGATAGTTTGGTGGAGGGTACCCAGATTGCGGAGGCGGATAATTCTGATGATGGTCCTGTGCAGCGGCCGGAGCTAGAGGAATCCCATGAGCACCATACAGCATTGGTGGAGATTCTCCCTCCCTCGCAAAGAGGCCTTGCGGCCGGTAGTCTCCGCGCGAGTTTGTTTGCGGTGGCTCACCCCGCGGATTCTGCATATTCGGATAGACAGCCTGGGCGGGAACAAATGCCGCCTGCGATGACACCGGATGGAACAGGCAGCTTTGGTTGAAACGAACACAGTTGTTGCACCGACCATCCTGTGATGACTCGTAACCCGAACAGCGAATCTGTAAATCACCTTAGCAGGGAGATTATTTGACAGTGATGACCTCACTTACTTTACGCTTACGACAGTATTTACATGCGATAGCAGTCCTTTGCCGTGGCGCTGGGGGAGGAGGCTGCGGATACGGATGGGGTGGACCATAACCAGGATAAGGGTACGGAGGTGGCAGACGATAAGGGTCAGGATGTCGAGGCTGAGGCGGCTGGCTCATATCCGCTGGAGGACCAGGGTGGTAGTGATACGCCGGATGAGTAGGATCCTAGCGAGAAGGTTAGTTTCTCTTGATGAGCTTGAAATGCACAAGATGGAGATGTACCGGATACTGGGGGTGTGGAGGGGGGTAATGTCCGGGTGGAGGGTGATGCCATGAGGATGGAGGAGGATATTGACCTGGTTGTCTGGGGTCATTAGGGTATGGTGCAGGCGCTCTGGGATCACTCGGATAGGGTCCTGGCCGGGGAGGATCCTGCGCATAGCCATTGCGGTCCTCGCCAGAGGGTGGAGGACGAGAATCTGGGGCAGGATAGTAGCTTCCACGCTGATGGTCGCCTGGAGGAGGAGGAGGAGGATACGCGCTCTGACGTTCCTCTTCTTCCTTCATCTTGCTCATTTATCATAAGAATTCTTTTTGAAGCTAATTGGAATTTGGTGGATGTAGGCAGTAACGTCGGAGCTCAGACTAGATTTAGTCGAAACACGAAAGTAGAGGTCACACGATTGATGGAGCTCACGCCGTTAATGGCCGAAAGCGTTCTTGGTGTGAGACTGGTGTGATTGGTAAATGCGAATCCGGTGCTGTAAAGGATGACTTCGATGTCAAATCGGATTAGGATAGAGTGGTTACCAGAGAGCTTGATGAAGTGTTCTACCCGCGGAATAGACCGAGGGCAAAAAAAAAATAGCGGAGCTGGCGAAGAAGTGAATAAAATGCGCTGCCACGGGATAGAGGGGCGGCTGAGAGGATGAAAGCAGGTCTGTTGATTGGTGTGAAAGAGGGAGGGAGGGAGGGAGGGAGGGTGACAGAGTGGTTCGTGGTGGCCACTCGAATGAGTGTGCGTCGTTACGAAGTCTGGTTGAGTCAATGATGGCAAGCGGGTCAAAGCGGACGATAGCCCTCGTTTATGGGCCGCGGGCGAGCGATTGACCAAGAATCCCAGCAGCGTGGATTGTGGTAGTTAGTGGCGCTAGTTATTGTTCTGTTGCTCCAATCCTGGCCCATACAGTAGTGACGGTAGTAGTAACGGTAGTGTACGGACAATACCACCGCCCCCTTGCCTAGCTGCTGGTTTGTTCTTAGCTTCGGATCGTAAGGTTTGAAGGCCCTCCTCCTCTCGTCTGCTGATTTGCAACGCCGCAAGGTTGCTCAAGTAATGGAAACGATGGCCACCAGTGGCCACCCGTGACTGATGGGGCCACGGCAAAGTCGTAAGAGGGAATGGTCTGATTGTGATCTGGCCGGCTATTTTGATGTCTTGCAGCCGGAGACGCTTATTCTCGCTCCTGTTTGCCACGAGTTACGGTGATGAGACAAGCAGGGATGAGGGTGCAATATGATGGGAAGCGAAGGCAGGCGAAGGTGTGTTGCAGTTGGCAAGATTGAGTGGATATGGTTGAGTTTGCTATGGCGCGCCGTCCCTTGTGCGCCCTGGGAACGGGAAGAGAATCGGATCGCACCTTGCTGAAATGTAACTTGAGAAGCAACAAATCACCAGCGCTGGCCCCAACCCAACCGGACGAGAATTGTGGTTGATTATTGGGAGGAAAGGAGGGAGAAGGGTGATGCAAGGAGGAAAGTGGAAGCTTGCTTCTTTTTGTTTGCGGTGGATTATTGGACCTAGATTGGACCATGACTGGCACAATGTTCGATTGGGCAGCATTCCAGCCGGGCCTACGGACTCAAAGGGCCAGAAATTATTTTCAAGCCTGCGGCGTACAGGCAAGATATGCAGCAGTTAACAGGTATTGGTAGTCATTCTAACTCTAGTGAATGGTTACTCCGTACTGCTTATTGATGATTGCTTCATTTTACCATCCTGGCCCCCGTCTGATGCCGCTTTGGCATCATGCACACCGCCGCACTGGCCTTGTTGGTGTTGGAGTGGTGCTGGCCCTAATTTTAATGTTTTCTTCCTCTTCCTCCTCCTCCTTCTCCTCCTCCACCAGCCCACAATAGCCCACGCAGTTACGGGTAGTAGGTCCTACTAGTACTACTGTAGGAGGTTGGCAGCTGCGCTGCGCCCAGCGCCATACGAACAGTACACGGTTAATACGGTAATGGGGAGGTAAATTACACTCGTCACCCACACCTTTACCAAGCGGCATCATGGCTCGGGATGCAGTGGCGGCAGCGGTTCCTTGGCTCAACCTTGTACACAAGTAGTAATTGAAAAGATTACAGCTTTCCGCCACTGGAAGGCCGCAACAGGACAAAAAACTAAAGTTAGCGTAGCATTTACCGAAGCCCATTTCAAAAAAAAAGCTCTCCTTGCTGCTGGCCGCCCGTGTGCAACTTTCCACATCGCCGATGTCTCATCTTTTAGCCGACCGGTAGGCAGTTACATCATTCCTGGATCATGGCTCAGCGATCAATCACTGACAGAGTCATGTTACGCTGACGTGTCGGTTTACATGGTCACCACATGATCTTCTGTACTTCCTCACGACCCGCAACGATGATATGTAGAATGGAAGGCTTGCAGAGAAAGGATTGAAGTACCACGTCATTGCCATCTTCCGAGTGGTGCGAGCGGATTTCATTGGACATCACGGCTTCCTCGATATATTGCCCAGTGTTTGCTAAATTAGACCTGTGTTCTTTGTTCTGTCACCAAACATTTTCAGAATTTGTGCCACGCGATGGGGGATCGACCATGCGTTCTGCTAGGGACGGACTTCGTACTAATTTAGTGAAACACTCACCAATGGCCGGCCCGCGCTGGCGAGATTCTGCTGCCGTAGCTCTTCGTATCGTTATTGAAAGTGGTGTTGCTTGTGACATATCCCAGCTTGCAGGTGACAAGCCACCTTACAAGATTGTCATATAGGGAGTTGTCTTCCGCCTTGGACTGCCACTGATCCTGCCATCCAAAGGGCTGAGGATCCCACTACTTTCAACTCGAGCCTCGGCTATGGGATGTTCAGCTTTCACGAGCTCGACCTGCTTGGTGTGAAGTATTGACATTGGAAGGAGGTCCCTTAATGATGCAAGTAATAATCTTGCTGATAAATGCCAATCGAAGCTCGGTGGTTCTGGGCTAAGTAATCATTCCTCGTTTTGCATTCCATCCTACTTCTCAGCCAGAGGTCAATGCACATTGGAAGCAACAGAAAGAGATAGGTGCTGTCTCAGTATGCAAACTTGTATAGGAGTTTTATATGACTATTGCTGCCACGTCCACGACGATCTTCAAGCCGTGGCTTCCAAGCAAGGCCTCCGAAGCCGCAAGGTTTGAAGAATGTGACGAGTCACTTTCGAAAGTTGACTAGCATTGCTACCATCCTTGTTCGAGACATCCCTTCCCGTCCTGCGCTGGATACGGCAAGGTCTTGTACCCAATACATCATTGGAAAGTGCCTAACCTCCAACATCGCCAGCGCAGCGCAAAGTCAGGTGAGCAGGACTTCATGCTCGGAGCGGCTATGGGCATGATGCGACCCGTCCCGTTTCCGATCACATTTCCCATGATTTGGTTTCTGACCGGAGGAAAGTTTTGGTGGACTGACACCACGGCCCCTCTTCTTCTGCCACATCATCATATATCTTGTGCTACCGCCCCTGCGTACGCTTATGGACGGAAAATTGGTACGAGTCAGTCATGTCAGTAATGTAGGCCCACCATCGCTCCACCAAATGCCGTAGTGGAAACAGTGTAAATCAGAACGTGGACGGCTACTCAGTTGATCAAGTGTCATTCAGAGTCATTCTAGATCGGAGAAAAGTCAGTTTGACAGTAACAGAGCCACTAACGCACCAGGGTAGATGAAGTGACTTGGCTTCAAGAAATTTATGGGTGTCACAAGGCTGTCCTTGTGGTTGTCCATCCTCCCCGGAAGTTCGGCCTTGAAGTAGCGCTACCAGGAGCCCGGCCATGGGATTTGATGTCGCCTTCGCAGACAATGGCATGCAAGCTGTCTCGGGTAAGTCAAGGGCTCAGAATGTTGTATCACGCGCTTCAGATGCGGGCTGCTTCTCTTGATTGCTGAGCAAAAGTCGGTCTGCATCTCAATGTTTCGATTGCCTAAACTTACTTCTCGGCTAGCGAAGGGTAGATTCTGATTTGAGAATTAAACATTCGTGTCACGGTAAATCAAGGAACTGCTGCCTGATGGCTGACCTGGCCTCGCAATGTTTGATTCTGCCATATTCGAAGATCCACAGGGAATGGTCAGGCTACAGCTGCGCAAGTGCACTTTCTACATGTGCCGGCTCTGCCCGAGGAGAGCTCAGTGCATCCTAGATATCCGCCTGCTGATAGTAGCTGCATTTGTAGAGCATCTGGCAATTTCGAACGAGGTGCGCGTTGGAGGTATAGCATGGCGTAGATTGATTAGAGTTGGTATCCGACTCTAAGCGTTGAGTGCAAGCCGTGCAAAAATGCTAGGAAGATCCTCATTGCTATTGTTGGTGTAGCACCAGGCGTGTTGCTCAGACATGTGACTCGCATAAAACGACCGCACGTGGGAAGTGGCAAGTGCTGAGCAAGGAAAAATAACACTCTCACGCAGAGTGTTAATGTAGGGAATGATAAACGTCCTTCTGTTAGTGGACAGAGAGACATTTTTGAGGGGTTGAGCCACCGAGCCACCTACTTCTGTTCTAGACTGAGAGCATTCATGTTGTGTAACCATATGAGAAAGCCAATGGAGCCGGAAACGGCACATGGCGGCGTTAACAGACGGGCCGAGCCACTATCAACGCCGGGAAAAGATGTGATCGACTCGGTTCCGGACAAGATATTACTCCTGGCTCATCATCATGTTGCATGTGACCGCTCAAAAGATCTGACGTGAGAGAAGCGGTGTGAGGAGGCATTGGATGGATCGGACAGGCGTCAACATGTGATAAATTCTTCCTGAAAGCGGTGGGAAATGCATGTGCTATGAGCGGTACTTGCGCTGTACTGGCACGGATGGTCTTTGATCGAGTCAGAGATTTCTTAAGAGTGGAGTATATGAGATAAGAAGCGACTTGATGTCCAGTCAAGCGGCTTCAACACGGTTGCAAAAGGCGCAGACTGCGGCTGAGAGGATGGTCCATCTCGATCAGTGATTGCTCAAGTAGCACAGAGTAGCATGCATTTGTAGCAGGGATTCCGAGACTACTTTAGCGTTGGTGTGAAACGTGAATTACCACTGTAACATCCGTGACGCATACATCTCGTATTGTGTAATACGCTAATCCAGATGAAGATGAGCTAGTTATAAGTGAAAAAGCCAAAGCAGAAAGCCAGTCACCTGACCATTAGCGTATGCACGGCCGGCGCGGGCGGCAACCTTGGATCGGGCCAGTCTCAGAACTGATTCGTCAACCTGTCTGATTGGTCGGAGATAATCCTGATTCGTGGAAATGAAAATCAGAAAACTGGTACACTATAAATGGTGTGTTTGACCAGTCTCATATTATGTTTTCAGGTGGCGTAGAACTTGAGACAGAGGGTAGGAACCCCCGAGGCAACCACTCAGGAAAAGGTGGTCAACCCTACCAAGTGCATTTGGGGGCATTATTGACAAGCGCAGGGGATTTGTTGGTGCACGTTTTCCATGCAGACACCGCTTTTAAGAACGTGATGTAGAGTAGATGCAGTTTGAACGGCGCTGAGAGCAGCCAGCTGTATGCCTCTCCAGCAGTTAGTGCTTGAGTTGGTTTCTTGGTTCTGATGTTTGCTGCTCGTGTGTGTGAAATTTTCAGATGTTAAGCACAGCAGGTGTACTTCTTGTTGGTGAAGGAATTGCGTCTTACAAACCAAGCCCATACTAGATTGACTTGAGTCACAGATATTGCAGGCATTTTAAAAGCAGATGCAGAGAGTTTATGCAGGACTGATCTGAAATGGTTAGCAACCAGGAATCCTCAGTCCTACTCAGGCTCCTCTGCTTCACTCGCTTCACTCGCTTCATCAGTTGATGCTTCATCCTCTTCATCTGGCATTATAACACTATTGAGATAGGTGACCTATTCGACATCTGTCAGTCGGACAAAGTACCGATGCATGATAAAGGGGCCGTGTAGAGTGCCAAAAAGCATGATCTGGTCAGAGCCAGGCAGCGAGGTTGACAGCTAGGTTGACAGCTAGGATGAAATACACGACACCAAATTATAGACTAGAAAGCGGGTGGGTCACCGGACAAAGGGGCCTGTACATGTTGATGCGCGCCAGCAAGGTTGAATGGATGAAATAAGGCCGATATCTGTGCCGTTTGCGTTGCGACCAGTGCAAAAGCGGAGAGGAGCGACTACTTGACAAATGGAAAGGCAAAACAAAAGGGAGGGGATCTCACAAAAGGGGTCATGGTGCCCACCAAGCTTGCAATCCTATCCAGGCCTCCCGGCCCGACCACTTCGTCGTCTTGGAGCTTTCTTCCAATCGTGAAATTTTTGAGCCTTAAGAGCTCGATATTGGGATTGTCTGCCTCGTAGCCCTGCACATCTATATTAGCAAAAGAGTTGTAGTGATCGAGCAAATCACAATTGTCATCATCGAAATTGAACTTAGAAGGTAGATACAGTAGTGGTCCAGCGAAATGTGGGTTCGCAACGATAGGCCCAACCCTAGACTGGGAGCCATCCGCTTCCCCACCCTCGCGAGTCAGGCTCCTCTCCAGCCCGAAACACGCAAATGGAGATTATCTGCGAGGGACTCGATCTGCAAGCACATTATTCGACCGATTCCAGTACGAGTGCTGTTGATTTCCTGGTCTCACAGACTCACAAGACTGCAGCCTCGATGACCTTCGGCTTGCTCTGCGTTTACCAGGATCAATCTCCCTCGACTGACCACGCGAAGACAGAGTGGGAAGTGTCCTTTGCATTGCCAAAGCAATCTCATGTCAAGGTAAAAAGAGATGGGAGTGACACAGAGTATGCTTGCTGGCCATTCCTAGCTGCTGCCCCATGTATGAGGCTACAACGATGACTTGGTAGTCGGTGGGAGCCCGCGGTCGCAGAATCAGAGCGCGTCCACAACGCAACTAACACAATGCTGGTGTTTCTCCTGTGTCACTTCTTTTGCACCAACATTCTACTCACAGTTTGATGTAGAAAATGACAGAAAGAAATGAGTCTGAAGGAAGATGGATGGAACAAGAATATCACACGCACCTTCGGCTTGGTTTTCAACGCATTCTCTTGATTCTGCGAAACAAAGGCCTTGACAGCCTTCGTCTCGTCTTTCGACACCCCGCCGAGCACCTCTTTCCGAATTCCGGGCTCCATCAGGATGCGTTTGAGTTTGTTGGCACTGCGGTCGATATCCCTTCGGACGAGGGCTAGAGGCGCAGCCTCTGGCATCCACAGACCACAGCCTATTCCATAGGATCAGATGATTTCACAATCCTTCCAAATTAATTCAGGAGACGATACGAGCAAATAAAATCCACCATAACAAGCTTAAACGTGCCTCATAGCAGGAGAGGAACCAATCGTGGCACCGCAGGCTGCAACTCGAAGCCAACCATAATGCAAGTCTTGTCTTAGGGGTTGAAAAGAAAAACCGGGAGGATGTCACTAACCAACAAAACTCTTTCCTCCTGGCGCTATTTGCACATAGTAGCCTGCGTAAGGTCCTTTTCGGCCAGTTCGAGACCTATTATAAAAGAGTTTCAGCAAAGTTTCCGCATAATGGCTGTTCTTAAGGCCGAACACTGACCATGCAGCAGAGAAATATGGCTGGTGTATATTAGTATCAGTCACCAGACATAGGAGATGTGGAGCTTAGACCTTGTAAGGCGTTGGATCAGGGCTGAATCGAATATCTCTATACACCCGGAAGACCTATATTTATCAATGTAAGCCAGTTCTGCAGGAGCAGCCTTTGAGGTTCGTACCAAGTCCTTCGGAGGTAGTTCTGGTATCGTGTCATCTATTTCGACAATCTTTTCCGTTAGTGATTCCACGAAACTCTCCCAGTCTTTCCAGGATGTTCGATAATCAGCATCATGCACTATAATAAAAGACAAATTGTCAGCAGTGTCACACATTCGTCCACAACTCATGCCCCAAACCAATGCTTCTGAGATCCTAGGCCCCAAGATTTCGCCAACAGACACTGCACTTCTGAATGTACAGACTCCGTACGCACCAAAAGGTCGTGAGATTAACCTTTACAACGAACGCATATATTTTCTGATCCATGGAGTCCATTCTTATTTCTTGCATGCACTGTCGGAATTCCACCGCACTGGTCGAAACGAACGCCCGCGAAAGCAAGAAAGCTCCACTCACTCTTCATCCACTCCCTTTCATTATTGTCCCTCAAATCTGCCAAAAAAGCCATGGTATTTGGATGGATCCTATCCGGCACATACTTGATCCCTCCATCGCCCCTTGGCTTCGGCCTCTCAATGAATACTTCCTTCCCCGGTCCCAGGCCGACTTTCACACCTTGTCGCCAGAGCTCTTTGCCTTTCTCGATAATCCCACTCACTGTAGACTGTGCGTTCGTAGTGGATGACTTCTCAGCTGGTCGTTTTTTGACCTGCTGCTTCTTCTTGTGTGCCCTCCCTGTTCGCGGACCATCGGATTCGGAGGCGTCTTCCTCAGAAGGGGAAGGTGACGAGGGGAGGGTAGCGGATGCATCTTCGTCCTCGTAACCAGATGTCTCTTCCTCTGTCACCTCTGGACTTGCGCCTTTCTGATCCTCGTCATCGTCTTCATTGTCGCTGCTGGGCCCCTCGAAGTACTTGCTCTTCTTTGGTGTGGCTTTCTTGCCGCAGGTGGTTGGAGTGTTCTCAGCTGAGGCTTTGATGCGCTTGGATTGGCGGTTAGCGGGGCTGGTGGTAGTAGCGACAGGAGTGGTAGAAGAAGAAGATAATTGGCGTTTGTGGGGGTTTAGAGGTGCAGTTCTTGTGGAATTGTTCGCAGTGGTGGATGCTTTGCGACGAGGCATTGCACGACAACGCACCACAGCGTTGCAGGGTCGAGACAGCTGTGGTGATTTGTGATACCGTTACAACTGCAAGTGATAGTGCTGCGTGATCACAGTTCAATTGAAACACTCGTCCTATGTAGTATGACTCGACTACACCCTACGAAATCTTCTCTTTCCTAATGCGGTTATATTGGCGGCGTCACTCGGCTCCGAGGCAAGTCGCGTCGTGCGCTGCATGTTGACATCATCTCCGTCTTCCATGACAGACGATGCAACGCACGGGGTTCATTTTCTCATCCTCTACACTTTCTTGATCATGCCACCCCCCATTCCTCACACCTTCTACCGTAAGAAAGCGACGATCCTAGAAGGTCTCTCTGTACCAGACAGCGAGTACAGCGACAAATCGCCCAAGGGTTCAGTGGACGAAAGGATCAGAGAGCTGATCGACGAGATCAATGCCTACGATGGGTTTGTGACCACGAGTAGTTGCGCGGGAAGGATCGCTGTGTTTCAAGAAGGAAATGGTCAAGGCAGCGATTCGAGGAATGAAGAAGATGCCGTAGGCAGTTCAGGGGTACCGGGCGGCAAAGGGGGAGGGAAGTTTTTGTTTGTATCGCATGAGCCTGTGTACGTCGCAGGGGATGGCGCCTCGCAACAACTCCCCAGAATACTCGGTCTAGATGAAGAACCCGGTGCTTGTGGAGCTAAGGGATCTGAGTCTTGGGCTCCAGGGCAGAGGTTTGTACGGTTTGCGTTTGAGCCTATGGTGCGCAGAACACAATCTGCATGGACAAGGAGACAAGGCTGAACAGGTTTAGATCCTACACATCATGACTGCTTCTCTGCACCACGCAAAGCCTCTACTCAGTGCAGCCATCAACAGCGGTTTTCGCGAGAGCGGAGTGCAAAGCTTGAAGAACCTCGATGATCCAAATGCGTGTCCAATGGTGGCAATTCGGACCGCTGGGCTTGGTCTGGAAGCGATCATCGCGTTCGTGGCAGAAAATAGCAACAATGGGCCATATCAATTTTGGCAATTGGTCACAAAGGAATACTACACCATGCTTCTGAAGATCGCAAATGAGAGGTTTGAAGCTAACCAACTGAGGATTGAAAAGTTCCGAGTCTCTTTGAGAGAGACCATGAAGTCAGACTCTCAAAAGTCGCAGCACAACGAGAAGTGGGAGAGTCCTGAAGCAAGGCGCCAACGGAAGCGAAATCAAGGTCTGAGAGCGAAGGAGGCTGCACAAACAGATACGCTAAAAAATATCGAATCCAAGACCTCGATATCTGGCGAAGACGACGACGGATACCTCAATTGCATCTTCCCATTCAACGCTCCTTGATCTGCTTCGGTAAGTACTCTTCTTCTTTCTTGGTAGCTCCAGAGCTCGACGCTGGCTTCCTACCTCTCCCCAGAAAAACTTCCCTCTTCTGTCCAGGCTCGTCATCCTTGGCTCCATGCTTCTTTATCTCAATGGTGCCCTCCATCTTCACAACATCAACATCCACAAGGCCAGCTTTTCCAAACAGCGACTTCACCTCGTCTTCTCCGAAACCGTGATGGGCAATTGTGTTCTTGGCAGGATGTCCAGCCTCCAACTTGCCATGGGTCATGAAGTCAACAATCAGCAGCACTCCGCCAGGCTTCAGCCTGGCAGCCAGCCGTGAAGTTGCGACCTCCAGATTTTCGAAATGGTGGAAGCCATAGCCAACAACAGCAAGGTCGAAGTTGAAGAATTGTGTTCCAGAGACAGATTCTGATGGACCATTGTTATCCAGGAGATTTCCCACGAACGCCTGTGCCGTTTGGGTGATGGTGCCACCTTGCTGATCGGATGCTGTAAATTTCTCGTTGTACGCTTTCACCATGTTCTCGCTGAGGTCAACACCTACGAACTCGGTAGCATGGCCCTGGAGAGCGCTTGTAATGGTCCCGGGTCCACAGGCGTAATCAAGTACTCTGACCTGACGCGGTTGCGGTGCACCTTCCTCGAAGCCTTCCGACGGATCTGCAAAGTCGACACCGATCCAATTCAGGTTCGACAAGATGAAAGCGTGGGTTTGGTTAATAAAGTTCTTCTGCCATTGCGCGCTAGAGTAGGTAGAAGCAGCCTGACTGTATCATATTCATATTAGTTGGGCACATTACGTGTGTATTGTTGTCAATTCGAACATCACGTACTCCCAGTGCTTTCTGTTTATATCGGTAAATGTATCTTGGTTCATTGAAGACTGTTGCGCTTCAGTGATCATGGTGCTCGTGCTGGTGCTGGTGCTGATGATGAGATGAGAAGCCATCGCTATCCCGATCAGATAGGCAAAGATGTAGAGGAGCACAACAGTCATCAAAACAGACAGGACAAAGATATCACTGAGCCTTTATAAATACCATATGACAGAAAGAGAGTGTCAAATGTAGGCTGACGACGGAGACATTCGCTAAACACGCGGAGACATTGGGTGGATGCATGTACATCTCTCTAGGTAGATAGCCCATCCATTTTGAACGCGTATGATCTGGCAAGATTGCTAGGAAAGCCTCCGTCAATCTCGTTTGCACATCTAAGGTGGCGGAGTGACGGAGACTTTTCACGTTTAATGCATACGTCGTCGTCGTCGTCGTACGGAGTAGCTACATCGACATCCACCTCCATGTTCTAGAAGTCGTGTGACGTTTTGAAGCCATAGGTTATTGTATCAACAAGCTCATTTTGATTAGAAGTAATCTCTAGCGTAGCCTGAGAATCGGATATGTGCATCTCAGAAGAAAGGCAAGCTAACTAGGCAGGTTTGCAGTCTCGAAATATGTGCACTCGAATGGAGGTGTGAGCCCAGAAGCAGAAGCCACTTGGCATATTACAATGATTCGCCTAGGGCTGCAACAAGCGTAATCTTCAAAGGCCAGATTCTTTCATGCCCTTCTCAATGCCTTTTCTCCTCGTCAATTCTGTGACCAGGAAATCTCGCTCCTTTAGGACAGCCTCCAAAGTCTCGACAACCTTGTAGAAACTACTTGCTGCACCACGTTCTTGAGTGAAGCGGATGACACTGAGGTTGCACCTGCGGCCTCGTTCCAGAACAGTGAACAGATGAGCATGGAAGTTGACTGGTTTCAAGTGCAGATCTGTCAAATGGTTAGCATCGCCCATTGCAAAGGTAGTAGAGCGCTCTCACAATTCATTGAGTCGACTCTGCCTCTTATCAAATCACCTCCGCCGCTACGTTCGCTGATCACGTCTCTTAGACCATATTTATTCCAATCCCTTAGTATTTTGACGATTTCTCTTCTTGCCTTGGCTCTGCTCACGGACAAGGAGATCACCCTACTTGCCGGTTTGATGTGAAAGAACTTAGCAAACCAATTCTGGTTGATGTGAACAGGACGAGCGGAGCTGGAAGACTCGGTCGTAGCAGTTACTGGTCCTGGCTCATTGAGTCCCTGCTCGTTTGCCCTGGAAGTATTCGGATTCGTCGGCAGCTGCCCGCGAGGCTCGGCGAGAAGATCGTCGGTGGAGGCACCATTCGAATCTGTTTCGGATGCTGCGTCTTGTATAACCATATGTTCTGCGGCAGAGGGGACGATGCTCTTATTGGTCCTACCAAACACCTTAGAGAACCATTTCTTCTTGGTCTCGACAGTTGGATGGGCCTCCACAGCTTCGTCCATATCGTCTGTCGAATTTGATGTCGCCTTTAGGCCATTAGAGCTAGCTTGGCTCCCGCTTGCTTCAAGCCTGGGATATTTCTCTCGCCTGGGAGGTGAATCCTTCATTGGAAGAGCTGGAGGGATCTCATCGGGAGACTCAAACTGCCGTTTGAACCACGACCATTTTCTCGTCCCTCCTGGGCTTGCGAGTGGATCTCTATTCTTTGGCGATTTAGGATGTTCCTCGATAGTATCAAGACCACCATAGAGCCTTGGATCGTAGCCGGATCTGTCCATTGTGCTACGTAACGAATCAGTGGAAGTTCCTCGGAGGGAATTAACTGGTGTTAGGCTCTTTTTGCGAATTTTGAGAGGTTGAATAGGGGCAAGCTGTGTGTGCGAAGCGGCCTCGGGAGATACAAGGCGAATAGTCTTGCTTGGATCTTGGAAAGAGATCTGCTTCGCTGACTTTAGTGGATCTGAGGCTGAACGGTTGGATTGCGCTTGCTGCGAAACATCAAGCATGTAGCTTTCCTCATTGATAGCAGCAAGATGGGAAGAGTTCTTCGTAGAGGCTGGATGAGGGTCTGATGCCGAACGTTTGGACTCCTCCGACTTCATTGCTGGCTGCATCAGCCGATCGAGGTGAGCAATGACCTCACTTAAATACGCTGGCACCGTATTGGATTCAGCATTCCGACAATGCTCAAGAAGCCTTCTGCGTGTTTCTGCGAGCTCACGCAGCGTGTACGAACCCAGTGATTCTGCGGGTGGCTGCGGCAGAGGTCGATTCTTCAGCTGATTGCTAAGTGGAACCGCCACGCTCTCTCCATGAACAGAAACGGAGGTGGCAGGCGATTCAACGTTCTTTTGACTCACATTACTGGATGAGACTGATGAACGATTGAAAGCCTCTTCGCAGATCTTACCCAGCTCGGAGCTCACTTTTCGAGCTTCGTCTTTCCAGTAATTGCTTACAGCTCGGGCTTTCTGGATATCTAAGTCTGAGGCTGGTTTTCTAGACCGATAAACACGAGGAGGTGTAGGAAGGCTTGGAGTGCTTTGGCTCTCCGGAAGCCCCTGCCTCGAATTGTTACCCTTGAATGATTCAGTGTCCGACGAAACGAGATGCACGGCGTCTCTCACCCTTGAGGAGTTGCCGGAGGATCTCTGACGAATATGCTGGAAACTGACTTGTCTCTTGTAGCTAACAGACTTCCGTATCCGAGCCTCGCTACGTCGACTGCTGGCTAAGGAGCTTCGGGAGCGGTCGGTACCACTAGAATGTCCCCTGTACTGAGTAGATTTAACGTACTCCTTGGATGGGACGGGAGTTGTGGCATGTGCTTGTGGGTGCAGTCTGCTGATAGCGGCATGTCTCAAGCTGGCAGCATGACCAGCTTTTCGTGTACGCGAAGCGCCTGATCCTTGGCGCACAACGACCGTAACATGGTCCGCATTGTTGTTTACGAGGGGTGTACGCGATGCACGATAGGGGTCGTAGCTTTCTTTTGTCACGGTACTTGCGGACGTGACAGGGTCTTTATAATAGCTATCCTGTTTACCGCTGTCCTCGCTGACGATTGAAAATTGAGACCGCCGCCGATTGTGGTTTCGGGATGGGGGCGCGGACACATGCTTTGATGTTGGTATTGGCTTTGTGACGTGGTGGTAGTCGCTAGCCGAGTACTCAAGGGGTACACCAGGGTAATTTTCCAGTTGCTCAACGCGAAATTTGATCAACGCGTTGTAGAATAGCTTCTCGTGATTAGGTCTGGCATCTCAAGTTAGTCTTGATCAACATTGCTTTAATTGCCTCCAATGTGCTCAAAGATTCAGCTCTGCTACGAATCGGAGGACTATACGTACTCTGTGCTTAGAAGTCGCTTCACCAAATCTTCTTGTCTGACACCGTGCCACAAAGTTTGCAGATTTCGAAGCAATTCTGGGTCAATATCACTGCGTTTGCCTATGGGAGGCCCGCAGTCCTTTGCACTTAGCGGTGGTGGAGGTCCAACGAGCACTCCATTTGGTGCAATGCTCTGATGGTATTTTTCGTATTTTCTAATCAGTGGATGAGCCCAAATCGCATTCATTGATATTCTATCATCCGGGCGCTTCTGAAGAATGCGCTGTATCAAATCAGCTGCTTCTTCACTCAGTGCGTCAGAAAGGTGATATTCGCCTTTCTTCACCAATCGTAGAGTGGCAGCCAGATCGCCTCCATCGAAAGGTAGGAACCCATTCAGCATAGCGTACAGGATGATTCCAACGCTCCAGATGTCAGCTTTGTCACCTCGATATCGTTTGCCATGGATGATCTCTGGAGCGGCATAGTGAGGGCTGCCACATGAGGTGTTGAGCCATCGATCGGTAGGCTGAAGAGCGGCCATGCCAAAGTCTGCGATCTTAATATTCCGTCCAGCATCCAGAAGAAGATTTTCAGGTTTGAGGTCTCGATGGCAGATATTGAATCGATGACAGTATGATAATCCAGCAATAATTTGCCGAAACAGACGAACAGCTTCCTCTTCTGGGAGTGCCCCGTAGCAAGAAACATAGTCAAAGAGCTCACCGCCTTCCACATACTCGATTACTAGATATCTGATCACACAAGTAAGCACCCATTCGAACGCGCTAAGACAAATGACCTACAGTTCTCCTCTGTTCTCCCACACATCATAGAGATTGATCACATTTGGATGCTCAATCAATTTCATGATAACAACTTCTCTTTCGATGCCAAAGGGCATCAACCGGAATCCGGTCGCTGATGTCGGATCTGTAGCCTCTTTGTCCATCTGAGCCATGCTAGCACTTTGCACCAACGCGGCTGATTTTTTGGACACGATCTTTATCGCAGCAACCTGGCCTGTCAAGGCATGCTTTGCAAGCCTAACACGTCCTGTAGCACCTTTCCCGAGAGTCCTTCCCAACTGCCAAGGTCCAACATGAGTTTTCCTCCTGGATTTTCCGGATGCAGTGGAAATGGTGGAGATGGCTGAATTGCGATTCGCATTTGCAGGAGCATTGCCAACGAGAGCAGAGATGCGCTTGTTCACAGTGACAGGCCTCGGTGAGATTGGACGCTGTTGTTGTTGTTGTTGTTGTCTCATGCTCAGATTGCCCTCTGGTTTCAAGGATGCATGGTGTGGCAATGGCGGAGGACTAGTGGTGAGGAGATCGGTGGAAGATTGCACCGGAGCAGCTTTGGGTTGTCTTTCTATGAGTGCAGGACGCCCTGACGGGGATTTATTGTCAGGCGGCCGGTTGGCCATGATCATGGAGCGGTGCTGCTGTCTCCGTGCTCACTTACAGCTCATGCCGGGCGAGAGATTGCTTTCAAATTGAGAGGTGGTAAACAAAGCGATGGCAGTTTCCACTGCTACATTCATGTATCAGGCACAGACTCTGTCCGGCCTGTAAGTCCTTGTCGCTGCGGCCAAGGAGTGATGCACAGGTGAGATGCTATGGTAGAAGGATGACTGGTGGAACCTCTGTTTGTGCTGCTAAGAGGTCAAGAAGAGCGGTTGAGACTGTGAGACTGTGATGGTTTGTGGTGTTGATGTCCGGATTCTGTAAGTGTCCCATACAAACAAGATCTATCAATTAGTATTACTAGGTGACATAGCAGCATCGAAGTCAAGGTATAGCGAAGACAATTCCAATTCACTCTGTTGTCCCGCTGACTTTTACTAAAGCACAAGCTTCTGACGTTAAGCGACACTGTTTGTTTTGATCAGAATGGTGGAATCCCCAGGTCACTGCAGCCAGCCAAATTGGGTGGACAAATGTGGAATGTGACCAATCAGCACCCTCCAACCTCTACCACTGCCAAAGCAATCCAAAGAAAGATGTCCAAAATCTAGTTCCACGAGGAGAATTGTTTTGGTACAGCGCAATCACAACCAAAAGGGACGAAGAGATGAAGAGTCCAGCCAAAAGGGACGACACAAAGAGATCAAGTCAGAGTCTGGCAGAAGTTGCAACCACATTGCAAGCCATCACGCCTTCCATCCTTACCCCGTCATAGATGCCAATCTTCATTGGTAACATTTGCTTGCACTGGGCACCTTACCTTCTGATCGTCCAGGCTGCTCTAGATGGCTTCTGAAAGAGGGATGAGATACTGCGCAAGCTGACCCGGCCAATATGACACCTCTGGGGCATGCACGGCACTTCACGCGGATGCTGTACGGCAATTGACCTTACCTACGGTCACTGGAAGGGTCCGTCCAGCATCTGATGGGGTATGCTCTGCTGTAGCAGCTGCAAGGATATCTCAACCACCATCGCATTGTGCAAGATGGCTCTGCAATCATTGGTGTAGAGACTTGCAGCACCAAAGCAGATTCCAAGACAGGCTTGCCGGTTCAGACAGACGTCCAGGACAGGACAATCGGTACAAGAATTGCATGCAGACATTCATCCCTGGTACCGAAACGAAACGCCTAGGTATGAATACGTTGCCACTACCTATCTGAGGAATCAAGAAAGGGAATATGGAAGAGCGGCAAATGAAGGAGGTGAATGGCTGGTGTCGGCATGATTCCCTTCCGATCCACCGTGGGGAGCAACGTCACAACCAACACCTTTCAGTCGTCTACAGTGGGGAAATCCTTTAATCAGCCATAGTAATCAGGACGACGCGCAATGTCGCAGCCTGATCTTAAGCTCCTCCAAATACCTCGCTCTATTCTTCTACTCCAGACACAGTTACATTAATTCTCTAGGCTGCACGCAGGGCTATTGCTTGTGCCCTTACCTTGTTGCCTGGTTGTCAAGGCTTCCTCTTACTAGTCAATTGCGGTGAGTGAGCGTCATAGAGCTTTTTGTTCTCGTCTCCCTCATATTTACTTTCTTGTTAAACACTGACTCTTCCCTGATAGCAGCATCCTTTAGAAGTCCTGCAACATGAGAGCCACCCACCTTCTACTATTGCCCGCCATCGGCACTGCTTTTGTCATTCCTGACCAAGAGGTCTTCTCATCCTTAGCTGTCGAAAATACAACGCCGTCATCCAAATCATCATGGCTTGATAGTGCTTCCAGCCCGCATGAAGCATGGGAGATAGATGAGGAGACCGTCAGCAAGACATTCAACTGTGCAAAGAATACATGGGAAAATGCAGTGAATCATGCTGAAGATTACGCTGTCAATATCAAAGACAACTTCCAAGAAGCTTTTGCTGGCGAGAGCTGGCTCGAGTCTGCCGATTACGAGACAGATCTCTTCGATAGACCACCTCACCATGGACCTCATCACCCCCACGAACCTCACCACCCTCCTCATCACGGAAAACCGAGCAAAACGGTGTATGAGCTTATCAACGAGTCGAAATATACCACAAAGCTTGCCAAGCTGATCAATGAAAATGAAGAGCTCGTCACCCTCCTTAATGGCACAACATCCAATTTCACTATCTTTGCCCCAATCGACTCCGCCTTCGCAAAGATTCCCGACGACCATAAGGAACCATCGAAGGAATTTATCGAGAAACTCCTCACCTACCACATATCTCCAGAATTTTACCCTGCTGGCCGTGTTCTTGTTTCTCGCACCATTCCCACTGCCCTCGGCGGCGAATACCTCGGAGGCGCGCCTCAACGCCTTAGTACGCAGATTTCCCTAAGGGGCTTGACCGTCAATTTCTATGCGCGCATCGTCGCCATCGACATCTTCGGCACGAACGGCGTCATTCATGGACTTGGTAGCATCCTACTCCCACCCCCAATAACCACTGACATTATTTCCTTCCTACCCAGCGAGTTCAGTACCCTCGAGCTCGGTCTCCTCAAGACGGGGCTCATAGATCACCTCAACAAACCCTCCACCCACGTCGGTGGCACACTTTTTGCACCTTCCAACTTCGCCTTTCAACGTCTCGGTCCAAGAATCAATGCATTCCTTTTCAGCAAGTACGGCGAGAAATACCTCGCCGCTTTGCTCAAGTACCACGTTGTCAGCAATTACACCCTCTACTCTGATGCTTTCTACAAACATTCTTCCCTCCAGGACGTAGACGACATGGATTGCGACCACCGTATACCAAAGGGCGTTTTCCATGTCGATCTCCCTACGCTCTTGGACGACAAGTCCCTCAGCATCGATGTGGCGAGGTACGCTCGCTTCATCACTATCAAGATCAACGGCTTCAACAGAGTTGCTATTCCCGACGGCATTGCAGCCGATGGTGTTATCCATGTAGTCCCAACCGTACTCATTCCGCCCAGGACTCCTGGTGCTCAGGGCGTGAGTGCAGAGGGCATGGAACTCGAGGAATTTATGGAAAGGCTTGAGCCATTCGTGGAGTTAGGTGACGTGAGTATCGAGTTGTAGAGGCACAAGATGGTTTATGATGGAGATGAATGGAAAGGGGTCAAAGCTTTCAAATGCGCAGTAGTCTTTATGACTTGAGATATTTGAAGGTGCAATTCGTTTGCGACCTCAACCACTCGTCTGCACAATCATACTATGGCAAGATGATTTGAGTCGAGACCAACCACAAATCCAAGCAAATCAAATATCGAATCATCTTCTTCCCTTTTCCTCAATTTAGATCGTACTCCCATCCACAATGCCACGAAGTCGTCTCTTCTTGCCATAGATCTGGTCTACATATCCTATCCAACCCTATCCGAAAACCTCCCAACCGTGTTCTGTACGCAAGCTGAGAGACGATCCACGGTGGAGAGACAGTTCTTTCTTTTACTGCCAGGCTGCCCACTCAGCTGTGCGTTGGTCTATCGATCTGTACACATCACTATCAGAAGGAGAAGTACGTTTTGACATCACTCTGAGCGATGAAATGGGTCCCAGTACCTGCCCGTTCTCTACATGGAACGATTACATATCAGATCAAAAAGTTTTCAAGGTCGTCGAGCCTGGGAGAACAATGCTCCAAGCATCTGTTTAGAGTCCTCATCGTCCATGGTCACGTTTGATATTCTTGATACGCAAGCAACCCTGTGAGCTGCGCTTTCATTAGTGTTCACTACGGGAAGTGACAAGTGACAAAACGTAGCGAAGATGAGGAAGATTGTAGAATAAATATATCTTGCTAAAGGGCAAGAGAGAGGTATAAATAGTCAACAGGAGGTTGAATCATAGAGGAGGTGCAGAGCCCGGTCCATGTAGAGTGCCGATGAATATGCTCCTACTAGTAGCGGCACTGTGCATCATAAATATCGCCAAATGTAATAAAGAAAAAGTCCTTGTGCCTGGACACTGTATGACTGGATAGGCATGCATTGGGCACAGGCGAGACGAGAATGCTGATGTCACGTAGTGAGTGAATGATAATCGTTGGTTACTGTCATAGGACCATGATGGACGGGCAACTAAATAGCATGGGTAGAACATAGGCGGAGGAATTATTACCTTTGGAGATGTGGGACTGCTCCGGGGTATTAGTAATGATACATACATACTTTCTACAGAACCTGGCTATGCTACATAACAGGTCCCAGACGAGCCGTTACGATTCATTCCAAGACGTCAACTCACGATAGAGACTGTCCCAATGGCCTCGCTAAAACCGCCCTTCACAACCAGCACAGCGCACGAAAAGGTCAAGTTCGCTCAAGCGATGTGGAATACGCAGGATCCGGCTGCAGTCTCTAGAGGCTACACCTCCGAATGCATCTGGCGCAATCGGACGACGTTTCTCAAGGGCACTAACGAGATCGTTGCATTTCTCACCGCCAAGTGGAACAGGGAGAAGGACTACCGGTTGAGGAAGGAGCTTTTCGCGGTGGGTGGCGAGAGCATGGAAAAGATCGCTGTGCAGTTCTGGTACGAGTATCGTGATGCAGAGGATGGGATGAAGTGGAAGAGGTGTTATGGGCTGGAGGACTGGACTTTTGATGTGAGTAGACAGAGGTAGTGAGAAGATAGAGACAGTTTGGTGCGATGCTAATGCACAGCGTCCAGAGTAATGGCAAGATGGAAAAGCGCCAAATGAGCGGAAACGATCTGGAACTGGGCAGGAATGGAGATGGTGTGGCGGATGCGAAAGAAGGCATTGAGGGGAGATGGTTCGTGGACGAAGTCAATGTAGACGAGGCTCCTATCGGCGATAAACACTGGTAAAGCTAGCAGGTTAGTATCTGCACTGGCCTGGAATCACTAGGAACAAAAATCATCTGGTCACTCAGAGGATGAAAGGCAATTTCTTGGGTGATCATTCTCTCCGAACCCTACTTTTGCTCGAGAAGTCATTCTGTCGCACTTCTCGGACAGCAGTCAAACCTTGCCGGCGAATGATTGAAAAGGCGGAAGTTACATGTATTGCCTGGTCAGCAGAATGCAGGCCTGCTAAGCAATTTGGCATTGCCCCCATGAGCATCAAACCCAACCAGTAGAGTCTCCATAAAAGTCTGCAGCAAAGCCGTTTTGTTCCTGGTCTCTTGTGAATCCAACATTGTTCCTATGCAGCTGTGATCGACCAAAGTTTGCAGCAAAGTCATTTTGTTCCTGGGCCCTTGTGAATCCAGAATTGTTCCTACGCAGCGGTGGTCGACCAAAGTCTGGACCAAAAGGATCTTGCAAGCCCTGATAGCCCATCGTGAAATCTTGATTTGCAGCCCGCGGAGTACCTACTGGTGGGAGCCTCGTTGCTCGCCCTTCTAGCACATCTTGCCGAGCCAAATGGGGCATCTGGTTATCATGAAAAAAATCCGGTGGTGCTCTTCCCATTCTATCACGAAAGAGTGGGTCACCCAGACCTCGAGGCAGTCCGGCACGTTGCATTGCAATGTTTGCAACGTTGTTTCGCTGGGAGCCAGTTCCAATGAGCCCTTCTTCTATAGCCGGTGTAAATCGACTTCTGTCAGCAGAGCCTGAGTGTAAGCTGAGGTCAGACCTTGAACGATTGATATCTGCTGCAATTGACATTGGTGATCGAGGGACGCCTCCTTGGGGCCCTTGAAGACCTGGAAACTGGAAAGGACGCTCATCACGATGCGGGTAAGGAGCCCGTGGTCTAACAAAGCCCTGAGGATCTCTGAACATTGGGCCCTGCGCTGTTGGCCGTGATGCGAAGAGTCGCGGTCGACCGACGTCGCCATGAGTTGGCAAGTTGACTCGGTTCATCACTTCAGGTCTTGGAACTTCCAGTCGAGGAATTTGTGGTCGAGGGGCTTCCAGTCGGGGGGCTTGTGGTCGGGGAGCTTGTGGTCGAGGGGCTCCTGGTCGAGGGGCTCCTGGTCGAGGGGCTTGTGGCCGAGGAAGTTGTAGTGGAGGGACTTCTGGTCGAGGAGCATATGGTCGAGGGGTTTGTAGGCGAGGACCTTGGGGTTGACGAGCTTCTGGTCGAAGAACTCGTACTTCAGGAAATGCTGGCCGACGAGCTTCTGGTGGATGAATGAAAGCGATTCCACCTTCAATGAAGGGCGGTGGAAGCGCTCTAGCCATTCGTGCTTGCCGTACTGCTGGTATATGGTTTGCAGCAGCCGGCACATCATGACCATAATCCCTCATAGCCAGACGTAAAATGTGAGGGTCATCATGTTCATCGGAGCACGGTGTCGATAGGTGTTCCGTACTCCATTCAGCCAGACATCCGTAGCAAAATTCAAAGCCACATCTGCATTTTATGTGCTTGCAGCCCCCTGTCTTCTCGACAGGTGCCTTGCAACGTGGACAGGGTTTGGTCGTCTGGGCCACAAATTTCGCTCCCCTCTCGTCAGACTCTGAAGCAAGAAAGGCTTGCCTTTCCGAAAGTAGTAGTCGTGCAATACCAATTTTTGATTGAATTTCGGCATCGCCACTTTTGATTCGACTTTGCTCGTCGGATAGTGTGGTCTTGGAGGCACGAGAGACAAGTTCGAGTTCGCTGATGAATTCTTTCAGCAAGGTGATAGCGGTATGAGGATCTTCGAATTGATCGCATGTGAGGCCTTCATGCCAAGGTAGACCAGAATGCCGGTAGCAGGTCATTGCTCTGCATGCTTGACAGATAACGATTGGAGAAGCAGCGTCACCGTCGTGGAATTGACCAGTGTCGCACTCTGGTCGCCAGCATCTTATGAAGCTACCATCTTCTTGTAGGGCCTGCAAAGTGATCATGTGATCGTATCTTTCAAATATCTCATGTTCTGCCCACAGCTTGATATCTTGATGATTCATACGCTGACTGCACGAAGGGCAATTGATCTCATCGGGTCTGGAGGTACTGATCTGTACACTGATGCTTTCGTTGATGCAAGACTTGCACACAAAGCTTTCATCAGCAGCACGATGAAATTCAGGTAAGCATGCCGAGGTGATCGGGACAGCAGGAAATGCTTGTAGTGGCAGAGTTTCGAGACAAATCGTGCAAGCAAATTGTATCTCTTGGGCTTCGGGGCGATATTGAGCGAGCTTGAGAGCCACCATCTCATCGCAAGAGGCTGTTGTTAGTAATGCTTCATTGTGGTTGTCCTTCGATTGCTGTGATGAACTGAAATCTTCCCACTGCTTGCCATGTCCTGTGGGGAAATCTGTACTCTGCTTTTGTGCAGAGCGATCTAACCCTGGGTGTTCTTGGTACAAACCAACATTTCCCGCAATCTCGTGTTGTCCGGTCCCCAAGCGGAATGTCTGATGCTTCTTTGATGGCCCAGCATGCCCTCCGTTTTCTCCGTCGCTGGCAACTCGAGCTGCTTGAGGCACCGAAGCAGCTTGCTTCCTGGCGGTAGAGCTATTTATTAGTTGAACCAAATGCTGAAAATGTGGCGAGGCTGTATCTCCAGTGCTCGAAGTATCATGCTCATTGCCAACGCTCGACGGATCATGCTCATTGCCAGTGCTCGACGATGATGATGCCTTTCGCCTGCCTATGTCCATATCGACCTCTGATCTGTGTTGCGCTCTATGTACAAAGGTTAGGAGATGGCTTGCTGACAGTATAAGGGCTTTTGCACCTACTCAGGTTTCAAAGTTGATTCTGGTAGTGACAAAAGAGAAAGGTGGTTGTGGTAGGCGGCTTGTTGAGAGGAATAAATGAAACAAGTGGCTCGGCGTTGATCTGATCCTCGAACATTGCTTGTTACCAGACGAACATAGTGGCGAGCAGGAGGCCTTTATTTGTGGCATAAATATCAGAAGTGTTTAGTTGTGCTAAGAGGCTCGGCAAAGATGGATCGTCATAGCGACAATGATATTGCCATGCTAGAGATTGCGACAAGTAAACGGACATATGCGTTTTGGATCACGACAGTTCACGACCCCTGGACCAAGACGTGGGAACTGCATGCATGTTGATCTTCATGTGGCCACAACCATGAATGCAGGCCTGGTAAAATGCAACTTCCTCCATATGAAAGCCTTCTGCCTTGCCACCCAAGCCGACTAATACTGTTCATGGGCTTCATCCCTGCGAGCTTTGACTCCCTCCAGCTCAAAATGAGGATGCGGCTTGAGAAACGGACGGACCCATTGAAGTTGATCCCATTCCATATGAACCTCACGTGTCTGCAGTCGTTTCGACAACCCTGGCTCGGTTTATCTTGACTTGCTCCAGCGGCCTATCCTCAGGTCCCGTCTTGACTAAGCCCATTCTCTGAACGATGCGCATCCCACTTTTGACACGACCAAAAATGGTATGCTTACCGTCTAGCCACGGCGTTGGGGCTAGTGTGATGAAAAATTGGCTTCCATTGGTATTCTGGCCACTGTTCGCCATGCTCAATACGCCTGCTCCAGTGTGCTTCAGAGAAGCATGTATTTCATCTTCGAATTTGTCTCCATAGATGGAGCTTCCACCTCGTCCAGTCCCTGTGGGATCTCCCGTCTGGATCATGAAGTTTGGGATGACGCGATGCACGATGACGTTGTCATAGTACCCTCGCTGTGCCAGACTTGCGAAGTTCTTGCAAGTCTTGGGGGCGTGGTCATTGTACAGTTCTACAATGATGGCGCCCTATTGGAGTAGGGCCAATCAGATTCAGCCTAAGATCGAAGAGCACATATGCGATACATACCATGGTGGTCTCGAGCACGACATCTGTAGCCATGTTGCTTTTGACTCTCTGGGAAAGAGAGATGTGTTGTACAGATCTGAGAGCAGAGAGTTGAAGTTGATGGTTGACAGGTTCGCTGCAGAAACATTGACCGACCTATGGGAGGATATCGCATAGCCCGGGACATCCCTTTCGGCCACCCGTTACAAGCCGCTCTCAAGCCGCTCTCAAGCGCTGCTCTTGGCATTAAGGAGGGCATTAGTAGTATGCGATCAAAGTGAAGAACACCTTCTTTGTGCACCAGAATGCTACAATACGGTCAAGCACTTTTCAAGGGAAGCCGCAGAAATACGTGATCTCTTTTTCTGTGCAACAAATACCCTGGATCAGTAGATGTCAACATCTCTTAGCACACAATGTCTCCTCCAAGCCCGTTGGTGGTATGGTCAGGCAGAGTGGCATATGAGGCAGCACGCTTTCGTCGTTTGCTTCCCACATATCTGCATATTCTTGCGTCCGCTCTATTCCTAGTCTACACCGCTGCTCATGCCTCGCTCTCGATCCCATCCTCGGCTGCTCCACCTCCCAGAAAAAGGCCTGACGCTCATGATGACGATTCGGTGGATGAAGAGCAAGAGGTTGTTGCCGAGAGTAAAGAAGCTCTTAAACCAAAGGATGCAATATTGTTTCCACTGCTGGCTGGACTCACGTTATCCTCGCTCTACTTCATCATCAAGTGGTTGGAAGATCCTAGCACGTTGAACAAGATCTTGAGCTACTACTATTTGCAGGTTGGCGTTGTCTTTGGCACAAAGTTTTTCAAGGATGCATTCGTCGTCGTGCGATCATTCTTTCTACCCAATCAATATGAGGAGTCGGGCCGACTATGGAGAATCAACAGGTCGAAGCACCGGTATGATCTTGTGGACGCCAACTCTGATTCGGAGCAGGCTTATCGAAAATCCCATTTGCCAGGCCGGTTGCACCGACTTCCTATTTCCACTAAAGTCGCTGACAGGGCATGGAAATTCCGCAGCCTCCTTTATGCTAAGTGCTCTCTCAATTTCCACATTCACAAGCTCTCCTCTATCAAGGTACCAGTCGACATCCTCGATGCACTCGCCATCAGCACATCTCTCGCCGTTGTCGGGTTCTTCACGTTCCTCTACAAACCATGGTACATTTCGAACTTAATTGGTTTCACTTTTTGCTACAGCTCTATGCAGTACATGTCACCCACCACATTCTGGACTGGTACCCTGTTGCAGAGTGCCTTGTTCTTCTATGACATATATTTTGTCTTCTTCACACCCATGATGATGGCTGTCGCCACGAAAGTTGACGTCCCAATCAAGCTTCTTTTCCCTCGCCCAGCCCAATCCGAGAGGGGAATCGGTGGCCTGGCAATTTTAGGACTGGGCGATATCATGATACCTGGCATGATGATCGCACATGCGTTACGATTCGACTTGTACCTTCACTATCTCAGGCAATCGAAAACAGTCGAAGGCAAATTGGAGAAGGCAACCTATCTGCCTGTAAGTGGTGCTTGGGGAGAGCGCTTTTGGGTTGGGCGATCTGTGGCAGGACCAGATCTTCGAGCCAAAGCATTCCCCAAGACATACTTTAGAGCTGGTCTTGTCGGCTATTCAGTATCCCTAATAGTCACATTGCTAGTGATGCAAATTTCACAACATGGTCAGCCTGCGCTTTTATATCTGGTCCCGGGCGTGCTGAGTGCACTGTGGGGCACTGCCGCTATGAAAGGCGAGCTTGGTCAGATGTGGAATTATACCGAAGATGAAGAAGCCGCCAAGCCCAATCGTCCACCAAATCAAAAGAAGGAGACGTCACGGCAAAGTGTAGAAGAGGAGAACAAAGCTGTGAATTTATTGGGCTCAAGCAAGAACATCGCTCCTAGCCTAAAGAGTACCGCAGCAGGTGCTGAAAACGAAGAACTGACGACCACTTCTATCCCGAGCGGGGACACAGACAAGCCCCCGGAACTTGAAGGAGAATCCGAGACATCCTCCGAGCCTGACTCTAACCCTGACTCCGATACCGGCTTCGCCACCCCCTCGAGCTCTCACTCCGAAAAAACAGAGCAACAAACTTCGAAGTTGGGCAAGGAATCGAAGGATAAAGAGCAGGAATGTCGTCACCTCATCTGGTTCTCCATTGACTTCCCTCCGTCACCACCTGCTTTCGCCGTCGAGGAGGAAGCATTAACCAAATCAGAAGCCGGGGCACAGGCCTTGGCCACTCCGTCTAGCGACGGTGCGGAAACCTGAGACCAAGAGAAGAAGGGGACGAAGAAGCTCACCACCGGAACTGTGAGCCCAAGGGGTGGCGAGCCACCTGTCAAGCGACGTCGAGTGGTGTAGCTGAGCTTTTCAATCTTATCTGGGCAGATAGATTTGCTCGGTTGATTTTCAGCCCTATGTCGAAAGCAAAAGAATAGCGAGGCGCATTGAATGTCCGGGTCTCAGCTGAAGGCGGAAGAGAAACGGCAAGGGCAAGCTCGAGAGTGATATAGAATCAATCCTCAGCCCATGCGATCAGTTTCAACCAAAGTTCCCATCACATCCATGGGTATCATAATGACAAAACGCCTGGAAATGTGCTCACAAATATTTCAATTTTCGCTCTTTTTCGATCCAGCTTCCTTGACTAAAACCTGCTGCCACTCTTTCCACCTCTCCCCAGCCCTCTCCACCAGCTCCCTCAGCCCGCTTCTTCCTACACTCCCGCCTCCATTCTTTTCGATCTTGAGCACGAAAACTCTACCTTTCTTATCCTGATCCACAATCACACATCCCTGCTCTCTGCAGCACCCTTCCTCGAACGCATCTGGATCGCACAGTACCTGCTCAATCTTTCTGCTAGTACCCCCCTCCTCAAGCTTATTAGACCTAAACACCAAGAAAGACAGCGGTGCCGGACAACCTCTCAGCCTCAATCGTTTAGCTTGACCCTTCTCAGGCGAGCATATAACCGATTCCAAATCTATGTCCCACCACGCCTTAGGCAAAAGCGTATCCCTCAGCGCCGAGAACATAGCCAGTGCGCATGCATCGAAGAGGTTCCCGTCATGGTTTATGACCACCGTATCAATGTAGAGCACCCAGAATGCCTTCAATTTCTTCTCTGGAGATGCGTCAATGTCGGGGATCTCGCGTTCGAGGTCTGTGATGGTCTCGTTGTAGATGCAGAGGTCAGATAACCTGACCGCGTGAGATGTGTGTAGTAAAGATAGTAGACGTTGCGACAAGGATTGCGCCTCCTGTGAGGGTGGGGAGCCCGGGAGGTGGAAGGGCGAGCATCCGGTTGCGAGTTCAAGATTGGGGACTAGTAGGTTGTGGTTTCGGATCACGGCATCGGCTTCCGGACTGTCCTCGCCGTGGTCTGCTTGAGGTATATAATTTTCTGGGTTTTTATTGACGCGGTAATTCGCGATTTCGTGGATGGGGAGGATCTCGGCGCGTACTCCGCACACGGCTGTTGTTTGGCCGATTTTGATCAGGGTTGAGCCGTTGGCGTGAGTGAGGGATGATGTGTTGATTGAGATGGGCCGGCATTGGGAGGGTTTGCGGCTCGAGGGCCGGAGTGGTGGTTCCTGTGACAGGCTGGCGTAGAGGAGAGCATGGGGGGAGATGAGGGGCATGGCGGCGGAGGGTATGGCTGGATTTGTGGGTGGGGCGGAATCGTGGTTTGTGATGTCAGCCGGCGCGGATGTTGTAGCCATATGTTTGGTCCGCAGAGAAGACCTATCCTCTGCGAAGGAGGTGAGGACTCCCCTTGCAGAATTCCTACTAGAAAGCTTTTCTCTCCGGTCCGCCCTTGACTTCAATATGTAAGCATTGTTGGAGAAATATTTTGCTAGCCGCTGCTAAGCGCTCTTTTCGCGGGGTGGAATTGCTGCTCTAGGCGTAGTACTCCTAATAAGCTTTGGGGTGGGGTGAAGACGTAATTCCGGGTTCGCCGTGATAGATGTCTTTGTATCGTGGTGGTTATGACTCGGTTCTTCCACACCATATCCTCGTTCGGGTGATATCTATGCTTCTGGCACCCAATCTAGCGAAGTTCAAGGGCAGGGAAAGTCTACAGCGAGGCGCACTTCTCTTCAGAATTCAAAGCCATCTCCATTCAGGTTTTATCATTGTTTCTTCCTGAATTGGGCCGCTTGTCTTCTCCGCGTACAGCCTTCGTGGCTGTATTTCTATCCTGTTTTTATTATCTTTCTCACACATCCACAAATGGCTTCATTGCTTCGCCAAGTGGCCCGGTTGCGACCAGTTACTTTCCGTTTACCTGTTCACTCCATTACCACAAATGCACAAAGTCGTGCCAGTGCTGCAGCTGCTGTCGCCCATGACACATCTTCCCCCTTCGAGCAGCCTTTTTTCGCAGACGAACCTCATGGCCCAAGGGTCAGCACTCCCATTCCAGGACCAAAGAGCAAGAAGGCGATTGCCGAGCTCAATCAAGTCTTCGACACTCGTAGCCTGAACATGCTGGCCAACTACCAGCAGAGTTATGGAAATTATATTGCTGATTTGGATGGAAATCTCCTGCTTGACGTCTATGCCCAGATTGCATCCATTCCCGTCGGATATAACAATCCGTCACTCCTCCTTGCGGCAACCTCCCCAGACATGGCCTCGGCCCTTATTAACAGGCCAGCCCTTGGCAATTTCCCTCAGCACGACTGGGCCTCCATCCTGGAGACAGGCATTCTCAAGGTCGCGCCTAGGGGCCTCAACCAGGTCTTCACCGCCATGGCAGGTTCTGATGCCAATGAGACCGCATACAAAGCCGCCTTTATGTGGCGGAGGCAAATGGAGAGAGGGGGCGCACATGTTGAATTCTCACCAGAAGATCTTGAAACATCGATGAACAACCAGGTTCCAGGCTCGCCACATCTTTCGATAATGTCATTCACATCCGGTTTCCACGGCCGGCTCTTTGGCAGTCTCTCCACCACTCGAAGCAAGCCAATCCATAAGCTCGACATCCCTGCTTTCGATTGGCCACAATCCCCCTTCCCGGCCCTTAAATATCCTCTAGAGGAACACGTGCAGGAGAATGAGGAGGAGGAAAAGCGTTGTCTCGAGCAAGCGGAACGAATTATCAAAGAATACCACAATCCGGTTGCAGCCGTCATCGTAGAACCCGTTCAGTCCGAGGGTGGAGACAATCACGCCTCACCAGCGTTCTTCAAGGGCATTCGGGAGATCACGAAGCGCAATAACGTTCTCATGATCGTGGATGAGGTACAGACCGGTATTGGCGCGACAGGGAAATTCTGGGCCCATGAACACTGGAACATGGCCCAGCCGCCGGACATGGTGACCTTCTCGAAGAAAGCCCAGACGGCAGGTTACTATTTCGGCAACCCAGCACTGCGACCAAACAAGCCATACAGACAATTCAATACATGGATGGGTGATCCGGCTCGCGCAATCCTCTTCCGTGCCATTATCAACGAAATTGAGAGGCTAAACCTCGTTGAGAATACTGCACTGACCGGCGATTATCTGTTCAATGGGCTTGAAAGGATCCAGCAACAATATCCGGAGCAGATTCAAAACCTTCGAGGGAAGGGTCAAGGCACCTTCATTGCTTTTGACAGCCCAAAGCGTGACGCTTTCCTTGCCAACGCAAAAGCGTTGGGCATTAATATTGGTGGTAGTGGAGCGAAGGCCGTCAGATTGAGGCCAATGTTGATCTTTCAGAAACATCATGCTGATATTTTCCTTGATGCGGTACAAAAGCTTGTTAGCAGCTGAGCTGAGTTTCTCTTCCTCCAGGTTTTCAGGCGTACCAGAGCAAGGCATGAGTATTGCTTGTTGCAGTAGTGTGGCGGTTCAATCAAGATTGAATTTTTGTAACACCGAATCTTCCCTTCATATGTTCACAAAGTGCATTCTCTGCTTTCTGTGTGACACCCAAAAATGCCATCGCTATGCAGCCGTTCCCAAGAAATTTTAAAATGCCGGACATGGCGGGACGCCCTCGTACTCAACCCTACCTATCCTCATCCACATCCCTCCCATCTCTTGGTATGTACTTGACTCCTTCCCCTTCCAACGCGCTCACAATGTCCCTTGGTAGCTCTCCCACTACCTTGACGGCATAGACTCCTGGCACGTAACCCTCCAATCTCTGCCACTTGGCCACCCAGGACTGAGTAGGCTGAGCCATAGTTATCAGACCCTCGAAGACACGGGAGGTACAGTCTTGGATCGCTTCCGGGTGGTTAGCTAGGCCGAGAATGGGCTCGCAGTTTGGGCAGCCGCGTGCACGGAAGTCCTGGAAAGAAAGATCTTAGGATAAGACGATGGCTTCAGACTAGAAGAGAGAGAGAGATGGCGGAAAGGGAGGACCAACGCTGAATCTCTGCACGATGGAGCAGACCATGCAGGCGCGCAGATCGCGCATACTGACGCCGGACATTTTCTTGCTTGTTGGAAGAAGAGAAGATTGCAAGAATTATTGGGTGTGTATCTGCTGTGGATCTGCAGTGTACCAGGAGTGTACCAGGAGTCCGGCCAAACTACTACTACATAGTACGTTACTCTGTACTACATAGCACTGTGTACTATGTAAGAGGTCGTCTGGGCGTTTTCCGATTTGGGTCTAGGCTTTCTCCAACTCAAAAGGCTTCCCCAAATCCTCTTCACAAACTGGGCAAAGCCGGACTCGAGGGCGTAATTCAGTCCCTGTTTGAAAATCCACAGAAGAAAGAATATGTCAGTGTAAATATGTCGAACAGCACGACCTCGTGACACCAAGTCAGATTCCACTTCCCGCTTACCACAACGACACAGCATGGCTATCACTCCAGACGTTGACGCCGCTACAGCACTCAAAAATAAAGGCAACAAGGCGTTCGCACAGCATGATTGGGCCGGCGCAGTGGATCTATACACACAAGCGATAGAGAAGAACGACAGAGATCCCTCATTCTTTTGCAATCGTGCTCAGGTACGTTCCGGTTGGAAGTCGATGCAAACAGTTCACTAACCCGCGCAGGCAAACATCAAGCTCGAATCTTATGGCTATGCAGTCGCAGATGCTACTCACGCGATAGACCTCGATCCAAACTATATCAAAGTAGCTCAATTACTGTACAGGCCCTGACCAGAAGCTGACATCTGCAGGCCTACTGGCGGCGAGCAGTCGCGAACACCGCAATTCTAAACTCTCGTGAGGCGCTGAGAGACTTCAAAACCGTCGTGAAGAAGGAGCCGAACAACAAAGATGCGAAGCTCAAGCTTGCAGAATGCGAGAAACTGGTACGGAGGGTGGAGTTCTTTAAAGCGATCGAGGTTGGGGATCCGCCATCTGCATTCGAAGGTCTTGATATCGAGTCGATGGAGGTTGATGCAAGCTATGACGGTGTCAAACTCGAAAACGAAATGACGCAAGAGTTCATCAATGATATGATCACGAGATTCAAGAATGGCAAAAAACTACCCAAGAAATATGTCTTCCAGATAGTTCAGGCAGTTCGGAATATTGTCTATGATGAGCCAACTATGGTTGAGATGGAGATAGAACCAGCCACGACGTTGACAGTATGCGGCGACACCCACGGGCAATACTTCGACCTGCTTGAGATTTTCCGGTTGAACGGCTTCCCGGACGAGAAGCACGCCTACCTCTTCAACGGCGACTTCGTGGATCGAGGGTCCTGGTCGACGGAGATAGCATTACTGCTGTACGCCTATAAATGGTTGCGCCCGAAAATGTTCTTCCTGAACAGAGGAAACCACGAGACAGACGATATGAACAGAGTGTACGGCTTCGAAGGGGAATGCAAAGCTAAGTACAATGAGAGGGTGTTCAAAGTGTTCTCGGAATCTTTCTCCGCGTTGCCACTTGCCACTTTGGTTGGCAAAAAGTATCTTACGCTTCATGGCGGTCTTTTCAGTGATGACAATACAGGCTTAGATGACATCCGAAAGCTAGACAGACACGTTCAGAGACAGCCGGGTCAGCAAGGGCTAATGATGGAGATGCTATGGACGGATCCACAACCACAGAATGGCAGAGGACCGAGTAAGAGAGGGGTCGGCCTTCAATTCGGACCGGATGTGACCAAGAGATTCTGCGAGAAAAATGGCTTGGAAGCTGTCATCAGGAGTCACGAGGTCAGGATGGAGGGTTATGAGGTAGAGCACGACGGGAAATGTGTAACCGGTATCTTCACATAACCTGGACCCTGTCAAACAACTTTGCTGACCACTCGACAGTCTTCTCTGCACCGAAATATTGCGATGCGACTGAGAACAAGGGAGCATATATCAATATCGGCCCTGACCTCAAACTGCAGTACCACAAATTCGACGCTGTTCCTCATCCCGATATCAAACCAATGGTCGGTCTTCCAATCGATCTTTACCCCATCCCACCTGCTAAGTTCTTTCATAGGCCTATGCACAGAGTTCGATCATGTCGATGATGTAAACAAATCTTTTGTTGAATACCACATGGCGACACTTGGATATTAACTTTGTGAATATGCATTGCGTGGATTGAATTTGGGGCCAGCAAGCATCTACACTAGAGGTTCTCTAGATCTGGGTTATGAATGTCAAAGATTCAGCCAGTTCTTCATTTGACGTGACGGCGCCTCCTCTGTCTGCCCCCATTCGAGACCTTCTTCCATACTGACTTGGGCTGTGTACTCACCTCAACTTGCAAACACTCCTACGACCGAGGACCTCATTCCACCATCTTACCACGTAGTAGCTACGTAGCCTCTGGCAAGCGGACCTCCCTTGTTCCCTAATCACGACATCACCCCCTGTGCCCTTGTATTCTTCTACCAAGTCTTCAAATCAATTGCCCATACAGCCCCGGACCCTTTCACCCCCACACATCGTCCCTACCACCGCCAACAAGCCCACCCAACCACTCCCCCCTCCCCTTGACCCTCAAAACCTGGCCCTCCCTCCCCACCC